TGAAAAATATAAGGTTTGAGTTGGAGGACAGATTCGTAGTTCCTGAAGGGAGATTTCTGTTTTTAAAGGGAAGATTACAAGAAATAGATTGTACATCCCAAGATGTTCCTCCAAGAACTTATATAAATTAAACTATATCCCATTGTTAAATGAGATCAAGGATGAACTACGGAAATTAGGAGGGGAACCCCGTCATGGATAGGTCGTATAAATCTGATAAAAATGGTGCATGTTCCAAATATTTTATATAAATTTCAAATGATACCAATTAAACTACCAGAAGTATACTTCAGAATAATTTAAAAAATGATAAGATATTTGGAGGAATAAAAAAAAAAAACGAAAATAAGTCATGAAATTTTATGTAGAAATAAAGAGAAAGGCGGACTGGGAGTACCAGATTTAAAAAGATATTATAACTCGGTAATAATGGCGAGAATATATGACTGGACACATAATGCAAACGGGAAAAGCTGGGTTAAGATCGAAAATATATTAAGTAATACCAATTTAAGCAGAAATTGTGTGGTTGCCCACAAAATATCGAGAATTAGCAGATGGTACAAGTTCGTGCACATTAAATGTTTTGAGAGTTTGGGATATATTGCACAGACAGATGGGATGGGAATTTAATTCACTGTTAATGCCTTTAGGGTCCACAGATTTTTTCTCCCCGGGTAAAGAAGGTATCACAGGGAAGTGGATTAAGAAGGAGGATGCACAATTAAGGGATATAATGGTGGGGGAGGAAATAGGTTCACTTAAGGAATCGAAAAAAAAGGGAGAAGTTTTCACGAGACTGGATGAGTGGCGTTATTTTCAATTAAAACACTTTACAGGGAAGCTTCCAAAACCTCTAAGAACAAGAGAGGATTGGAATCCCTTTGAGCATTTATTAGACACACGGGGAAATGGGAAACACGGAACTTCTAAAATATATACGATTTTCACTGAAATAGACACAGATATAAGGCCACCATATATAGAAAAATGGGAACGGGATATAGGTGTAATAATAGATGTGGAAAAACAGAGGAAAATGTATAGATTAATCCATGAAAATGTAAATATGCAGGAGGTGGAAATGAACTACAAATGTATGGCAGGATGGTATATTACACCGAGTGTGGCACATAGATTGAGCAGAGATAATTCACCTTTGTGTTGGCGGGGATGTGGAGGTAGAGGCACTATGTATCACATATGGTGGGAGTGCCCGAAAATACAGGAGTATTGGGAGAAAATAGTGAACTTGATTCAGAAAATTAAGGGTCTGACATTATATTAGACCCAGAGACTTGCCTTTTTCACAGTACCAAGCTTTCAGTCAAAAAATATAAAAAATCTGGTGTATTGTAAAATATGAATGCAGCAAAGGGTTTGATACCCAAGTTCTGTAGGAGACAGGAGGTGCCGAAAATAAAAGATTGGGTTGAAAGAGTAGATCAAATATGTAAAATGGAGGAACTTTACTATATGAATCAATATATAAGATGGAGAGGTATCATATAAGATGGAATAAATGGGAGGAATTTAAAAAGTCAAAGTTAAAAATAGAGTTTATGGGGGACTAATATAAAATATTATGGTTACACTTTCTTCTTCTCTTTTAAGGATGAGGGTCTCCAGAAAGAAACAAAATGCAGAGCGGAGGGGTGGGGAGCCGGTCGGGGGGGGGGGGATGGGTGGTTTTTTTTAGGCAGGAGGTTGGGGGGGGGGGGGGGGGGGGGGGAAAAGTAGATATGTCAAAGGTATTGAAATTGTGTCAATATCAATGTTTTAAAAGAGTATGTTTGTACAATTTATATATTTGAAAAAAATCTATAAATATTTAAATTAAAAAAAAAAAAAAACCCATGCAAGACTACTTAATAAAAAAAGAACCCACTACAGTAGGGCCTTAAAATCTCTCAATCCTGTTTTGAAGTAGTAGGGGGGGGTTGTGATTCAGGTATACCAGGAATTCAGATAATTGGTTTACTGATGTGCTACAAATATAAATCCAAGTAGCTTTATGATTCAGTGGAGGGGCCACAATCCTTCTGTACTCTCCTGGTTGAGTGGGCGCTGTCTGAGTTGAGTGTCTGTCTGCAGGTGCAATCAGACAGTACTGGGCAAAGGTTAGAATTTCTCATTAGATTGGATTTCAAAAGTAGAAAAATACGTTTTAGCCCAAGAGAAAACTAATACATGGGGGATCCACTATTCATTTCCTTTAAAGGAAACATTTACTAAGGAGGATAAAAGGCTGCTATTGCTGACCTGCTTCTAAAAATGCTAAATGCCTGGCTTTGGTATTTTTGGAACCACTGACATAGAACAATGATGCAACAAGTCAGAGGAAAGTCAGAACTCTTATGCATACAAAATCTGGGTCTGTCACTGAAATTACTGGGGCTTCTGAATCAGATTGAGAGTCAGGAAATTAGCATTTTGTGAAGGTCAGCAATGACACCCTGCATATTTCTTTTTAGAGCTGCAGTTTAGCTTCGGACCAGAAGATGGGGCACAAGGTCTACTAAATGAGTCTAATACTGTTGATTGCACTTATATAATCATGTTTGACACAGAAATTGTGTGAGATCTGATTTAGTTATCAATGTTTTTTCAAAGCATTCACTTGGATGGACCAGCTCTAAATATTTTGCTTTCAAACTGTACCTAATAATGCCCAGTCTTGTGCAATGATTGACGGTCCAGATATGTTATGTTGGACTCTGGATATCAAACTTTCTTCTATTAATGTATACACCCATATGAAAGAAACATATATTTGAAATATACTTTTAAAAATATATATGACATATATATGAAATACTACAACTTTGGCCATTATATATATATATATATATATATATATATATATATATATAAATATATTGAATATGGCCAAAATTGTAGTATTTCAAATATATGTCAATATATTTGGGAAGAATATTTCAAATATATTTTTCTTCCATATGGGCAGTGCTTTGAAAAAGATTTTCCTCATTTTGTCACGTTACAACCGAAAACGTAAATGTATTTTATTGTGATTTTATGTGATAGACCAACACAAAGTGGCACATAATTGTAAAGTGGAAAGAAAATGATAAATGGTTTTCAACATTTTTTACAAATATCTGAAAAGTGTGGCATGCATTTGTATTCAGCCCCCTTTATTCTGATACCCCTAACTAAAATCTAGTGGAACCAATTGCCTTCAGAAGTCACCTAATTAGTAAATAGAGTCCACTTGTGTGTAATTTAATCTCAATATAAATACAGCTGTTCTGTGAAGCCCTTAGAGGTTTGTTAGAGAACATTAGTGAACAAACAGCATCACGAAGGCCAAGAAACACACCAGACAGGTCAGGGATAATGTTGTGGAGAAGTTTAAAGCAGGGTTAGGTTATAAAACAAAAATCCCAAACTTTAAACATCTCATAGAGCCTTGTTCAATCCATCATCCAAAAAAGGAAAGAGTATGGCACAACTGCAAACCTACCAAGACATGGCTGTCAACCTCAATTGACAGGCCGGGCAAGGAGAGTATTAATCAGAGAAGTAGCCAAGAGGCCCATGGTAACTGGAGGAGCTGCAGAGATGTGCAGCTCAGGTGGGAGAATCTGTCCACAGGACAACTATTAGTTGCGCACTCCACAAATCTGGCCTTTATGGAAGAGAAGAAGAAAGCCATTGTTGAAAGAAAGCCATAAGAAGTTCCATTTACAGTTTGTGGGAAGGACACAGCAAACATGTGGAAGAAGGTGCTCTGGTCAGATGAGACCAATATTTAACTTTTTGGCCTAAAAGCAAAATGCTATGTATGGCAGAAAACAAACACTTCACATCACCCTGAACACATCATCCCCAACGTGAAACATGGTGGCAGCATCATGATATGGAGATACTTTTCTTCAGCAGGGACAGGGAAGCTGGTCAGAGTTGATTTGAAGATGGATGGAGCCAAATACAGGTCAACCTTAGAGGAAGATCTGTTAGAGTCTGCAGAAGACTTGAGACTGGGGTGGAGGGTTCACCTTCCAGCAGGACAACGACCCTAAACATACAGCCAGAGCTACAATCGAATGGTTTAGATCAAAGCATATTCATGTGTTAGAATGGTCCAGTCAAAGTCCAGACCTAAATCCAATTGAGAATCTGTTGCAAGACTTGAAAATTGCTGTTCACAGACGTTCTCCATCCAGTCTGACAGAGCTTGAGCTATTTTTCAAAGAAGAATGGGCAAAACTTTCACTCTCTAGATGTGCAAAGCTGGTAGAGACATCCCCAAAAAGACTTGCAGCTGTAATTGCAGCGAAAGGTGGATCTACAAAGTATTCACTCAGGGGGGCTGAATACAAATGCACGCCACACTTTTCACATATTTGTACAAATTGTTGAAAACCGTTTATCATTTCCCTTCCACTTCACAATTATTTGCCACTTTGTGTTGTTCTATCACATAAAATCCCCGTAACATACTTTTACATTTTTGGTTGTAACATTACAAGATGTGGAAAATTTCTAGGGGTATGAATACTTTTTGCAAGGCACTGTATCTATTGCAGACAGCTGATTACTGTCAGTTTTCTGGTTTGATTTCATTTCCTCTGATACAACTCTTCCTGGTATGATCAGTGTTGTTAAATCTAGTATTTAGATAATATGGATTACAATTGTGATATATTAGTTTTGTATTTGTACTGATACTCTATTTTTGCTAGATACAGCAGACCTTAACCTGACAGTTTCTTATATGTTTTGTATACTCTATTGTTATTGAAAGAGCTCCCAGGTCTGCATATTTGATGTGGGCATTATGAGGGGAAACCACCCTGCTTGGTGTATATTATGTAGAATGTGGGGGATAGGTGAGGAGCACCTGAAATTTTCAGCTATGTGGGAACAGGGCTGGGCATTGTAGCAGGAAGACCTAATTTTTACAAGGCTGGCAACTACCTATTATTAAAATACCACTTTCCAGTGTTTTCATGCTGCTGTTTTGTCATTTGCAGGAACATTCCGAAGAATAACTAATGCAGCTACACGACTTTTCAAGGGAGATGGTGACAGTGGGAACTACTACTACACTTTGGAGAGCCTTAGTGACCTTGTAGAATCCATGTTTCCAACGCACCCTTCCCTAGTGCTGCTGTGGTGCCAGTTCCTGCTGCTCATAGACTACACCAACTACAACTGGTGGTCCGAAGTACATCAGACGCTCAAGTAAGGCGACACTACTCTTTACTACTTTATTTTTAATAAAAAAAAATACTGTTTTCTAGTTTTGCCTTTTATGGATTTCAGAGTGATGTTTTGGTGTCTTAAAGTACGTTTAACCCTCCTGAAAAACTAACATAACTTCTGTTCAGGATTTTGTTTGGGCAGGAAGATTACTGTTCTGTTTTTGACAAAACCTACTTCTTACTCTTTTCAAAATCATCATGCCATGCACAGTGCTACAGCTATGTGTGGCTTCTGGTTTAGATTGGATTTGAATAAAGTAAAGTAAAATTAATTCTTTTTATTTAAACTGGAAGAGGATTTGATGTATGAAGCAGAGACTTGGGCTACTTTCACACTGATCCTCTGCAAAGTCCTCTGCAAAAACACTTCTGCATTTTTACTGCGTTTGCAGTGCAGTTTTTACAGGACATGTGACTCAAAAAAAGCGCCAAAAAATGCGCCTTTTTTTTTATGAATTTTTGCCATGTTTTTGATTGATTTCAATGGGGAGGTGCATTTTTGGTGCACTTTTGGTTACGCATTTTATTTATTGCAGGTATTTACTTAGCGCTGTCAATTTACATAGCATTTTACATGTATGTATATATAAAATACTTGTAGGCAGCAGCAGGAGTGTCTATCCAGAGTGACAAACACTTCTACTTAGGATTCATTCAGATGGTCATTGACCTCTGTTCTTTATTGCGTATACCACAAACTGTGTGCAAGCAGTCTATAAAGGTGGGTGCAGACCCAGCAGCTGCACAGACACGGCCACATGTCAGACACTGCCTGTGTTCAGATCTGTGCCTTAGCTCCTATATGCATGTCAGATTTTGTCATGCAACTGTATCCATGCAGCTTCTGTGTCTGCATTCACCTCTATAGGCTGTATTGTCAACCTAGTACATGTCAGGGCTTATTGTGGCAGGACCACAAGGTAAAAACCGAGAAAGAGAATCCTGCTTCTGGTTTGAGTTATAGTAACAGCATCGGTTTCAACTAACAATGGTTCTTGCAGCAGGAGCATTGCCAAATTTCTATTTTACATTTCCACGGTTCTAAGCCCACAAAGATAAGTGACAAATGGAAAAAAAAGGCAGAATATGAGTAGGTTTAATGAAGGGTGCACTGCACTGATACGGAGCGTTCCCCTGGCTTAGGGGAGAAATATGCTCGGCGTTTACCAACAAAACTCAACTTTGTCGGATTACCTGGAATGCTTGGTTACTATGTAAGTAATATGTCCTTGAATTTTTATTCATGAACTGAATCCGCTATCTTCATTGTCTTTTTGGCTTTTGTTCTCGGTCTTAAAGTGGTAGTAAGGTCTAGGAAAAAAAAACATATCTGGTTTCCTGCAAGTGACAAGTATGCATTGCATAGTAGCACATTTTGAAAGATGTGCCTGAAATTGAAGCCCTCCAGCAGTGCACTGTCATTGCTGACGGTGCTTCCATCTTCATTCAGTCTTCCTTCCAGGCTGGCAGGCTCCTGCCGTTTGAATGGCCGAGCCTTGATGACGTCATTTCTGTGTATGTGCACAGGATCCATGATTGTGGCACAGCGCTCTGAAGGGACAACATACTCATACTCGCCAGCTTCAGAAATAATGACTATCTCCTAGACCGTGCACGTTTCGGAGTTATTCCTTGTACCTACAGGCAAGCTTTATTATAGGGTTAACTGTAGATATAAGTCACCAAGCTGTGTTCAATACCACTTTAAATGGTCATCTTCCATCTGAATATGACATTTTCGAGATCATGGAATTCTTTCTTTCACCCACACCTTCTGAGTTTTACTGGGAGGTTAAGATGTATATTTCACCTTCACCTCCCCCTGTTTGACATTGCAACCATTCAAATACAATGATGTTCTAAGGACACATTGATTTGATTTACTAAAGCTGGAGAGTGGAAATCTGTTGCAGCTCTGCATAGAAACCAATCGGCTTCCAGGCACTTCTGCCCCTGATTTGGCACTCTCCAGTTTTAGTAAATCAACCCCAATGTGTCTGAGTGGCTGCTCTTATGTTTAGCTCATCTAATACTGAGCGTAGGATGGTGGGCCTATTCTTCTTAGGAGGGATATGTGCATGGTAGGCGTCGTAACTATAGTCTTAAGGTGTTATATGAATAGTTTGTCTATGGACAAAACTTTATTTTTAGTTTTGAGTAGAATAGGCAATGGTTAGAAACTTTGTAATGTGTTTTTGGTCTCTGTCCACTTGGAAAGCTTTCTCCTTGTTTCCTTTCCTGGAGATACAACCAGAAGTAAAAGAGAGAATTTTCAAAGAGAGTTGCAGTTGGAACTATTGTTACCATTGGAAGCTTTCTCTTTATCTCTGTTCAGTGACAACTGTAGAATTTTGGATTTCCCATAATTTTCTGTACTTTCTGCATCATGGGTCTTCGGGACAAGTATAGAGGGTGAATCTCCATAGCTAGGACACCGCAATAATGTCTGACTACTTGTCTGGCACTTAACCCGTCACCACTACACCTATCTAAAACTGGAAAACATTTTGTTTCAGCCATTTATAAAAGAAGACTGACACAAGAGTGTTTACTGCACACTATGATCTCTGTTTAATGAGTAATTGATACAGAGCATATTATGTGGACTGTGGTGTTTCATAAAGTAAAGCTGCAGTAGAGGCCAATCACATGGCTTAGAAAAGTCATGTGACCAAGCTGTCCTTCACTGCTGCTTTCAGCACCTCCTGTGAGACCAGAAAGAGTGGGCGGGGCTGCAGCTGGAACAGCACTTGATTGGTGAAAGGACTTTGGGATGGGGTGGGGGAGAGTAAGGAGTTTTGTACCTTTTAATGAAGGGAATGCATTAGGGTAAAAAAGCATTTGACTTTAGAACCACTTTAAAGCATTAATTAGCTACCTTTAGATCATACTGGAGCTTTATAAATTGGTTCCTAAGCCTTTTCATCAGATTTGTGGGACTTTCTGTCTTTTTCTCTTTGGTTACTTGTCTGAATAACATAAGTTAAATTGGTGAATGGCATAATTAGGAAGCATTGTCATTTAACACAACCCTTGTTAGCGGAGGAGGAGGAAACACTAGTACATGGCATTTTGCACACAAATGCAATATGACATGCTTTTTTATAAATACAGTGTTTACTCCTACACAGTTATCACCCAAAGTACAATTCGTTCCACCAATTTATACATAATTACTCGGTCACATATAATTAATTGGGAAGCGTTGTGTTATTAAGTCTTTGCTGCTATGGTTACCACCTTTCACCTAATGTGCAGCCGGTTATTCATTGTCAGGAGACACTTTGTATAATTCAGCAGTTTCTCCAGTTGGTCTTGTGGAAGTGCGGCTGATCCTCCTGGAGCAATGTGTAGATTATTTTTGTTTATCTTGGTTCATTTTTGTTTTTAAAGAGGAACTTTTAGCGACTTCGGCAGGGGGATGAAAGTCACTTTAACCTCTTTCGAGTAATTGAGACAAGGAGCATCTGAAGAAGTCTTCTGATTTACCAATAGATGTACTTTATCTAATCTTTTTTTAAAGTGAACCTCTGCTCAGCCCACTTTAATGCTGGACCTGTACACTTCTCCCTTGCTCATTGCCATTTGTGTGCAGCACAGTTGTTAATCATGGCAAGTTTTATCCTCACAAAGTCTGTTAGGCCCCTTTCACATGGGCCAGATCTGGTTTTGCTCAGCGGGGGATCTGCCCATTGAACCCCTGCTGAGCTGAGTGGAGCAACCAGATGAAGGTACATTTCTTTTCCACTTATGCCGAGTGGACATGGACACAGCATGCTGTCCTGTATGGGCAGTCGAATGTAAATGGACCAGCTATCTGTTTACACATGACTGGCCTCCGTATTGATCTGGCCAGGCGAAGGAGAATGGATCCAGCTTCCGTTTAGTTTTTGCCGGATTGGAGGTAGCCAGGTGTAAACGGAAAGTGTAAACGGGCAGTTCACATACAGCTGACCATAGAGGAGATTGGAGGGTCCAATCAAGTCCGCCTGAGAAACAGACAGGTAGATTCGACTGGACTGCCTGTTTGAAAGGGGCCTTAAAGTAGAACTTTAGTCAGAAAAGTCTTGCTAGATCACTTCAGGCTGGCTCCTTTTGCAGGTATAGCTATGTAAAACATTAAAAATAAGTGCCTAACATGTTTAAAATCCAGTAATACACAGTCTTGCCATGCTCAGTTGCTATCTATTTTAAGGCATTTTAGACACTGGACTGTCAGAAGATCAGCCTCTACAAATTCAGCACAAAGTTTAAAGCGTAACTAAACCTATCGATTTAACAGCTTAAAAAAAAAAAGTTACATTCCCGACATGCCAGGAATGCTGTCACATTTGCTTGTGCTCTTAAAACCATCAAATCAACTGGTGTTATAACTGATCATATGTGCAGCACCATGGCAGTTGCAGATCAAATAGATGGCAGCTTCCTTGGGCTGAAAAGGATAAGAGGGTTTAGTTCTGCTTTAACTTCTGCTCAGGGGCTTTGGGCTTCAACAAAATGGCAGCCTCCAGCAAGAAGAAACCGGAGCAATGCTGAAGGCAATTTACAGCACACACTAATTTTAGTAGCATAATTCTTAATGTGGAATGTATGTTCTTTGCTAAAGAAACATTTCTGCAATACATGAACAGCTCTGTGTGGTTTGTGTCTAATGTTTTAGGTGCAGAAAAATACTTGTTGATCCTGCGCTTCACTCTCTTTACTAATCTCCATAATATAAAAGGAAGGTGTTCTGTAGTCCAGTAAGGGAGGACACAGGCAGGGCTGACAGCACTGTTTTGGATTTTAGTGCAGTAGAGTCAGTATTATCAGATTGCCTCAGAAGTATAGGAGCACTCTTGATTTCTTGGCAGGATCAGCAGGTATTGTTCTGTGTCTAAAGAGTTTTTAAAGGGATAAGACATGGAGAAATGTGCATGCATTGGAGAGATGTACTACATATGTTTTTAAATTTGTCCATACACTTAAATGTTATACATATTGTTTTTTTCCCTTCTCTTTGCTGGTTGCACATAGGATGATTGCACCACTGCGCTGGTTACGGACAGCACTATGCTAATGAACGGAAAAGTCTGCATTAGGGATGCACTGATACTCCTACTAGTGGAAATGCTCCCGATACCTGAAACTGATACTTTGCATCAATGGATACAAATTGCACCAAAAAGAATAGCATGCGATTTGAACAGGAATGCGGTACGATTACTTTCCAAATCGCATGCATTTTACCCACTGCTCCTATGTGAAGCCAGGCTTGTCATAGCCTGAGTTCACGCAAGAGTGGTGCGGGAAGCTTTCCTGTTACAGCACAGATATGGCGATCAGCACGGAAGGCTGCATCCTCCCCTCCATGTATTCTCTGGTGGAGATCTCTTTGTGAAGGGGGGTGGGAGGTTTGGAACGCAAGCCTGCAGTGTCCTCTCCCAAGTGTCATCCCTGCAAGGTGAGGTCTGGGGATTTGAAACCCCTCTGGCTTTCTCTCCTCTCAGTGTAGGGATGACTGTACGGGCTAGATGGCTTTTGACTTGTCAGCACCGTGACTATGTTGACAAATCACAAGCCGTCTAGCCCAAACTGTCATCATGGCTTGTGTTCCAGACCCCCCCCCCCCCTTTTCACCAAGAGATCTCCACCGAAGAATATATGGAGGGGAAGGATGCAGCCTCCCGTGCTGATCACCGTGTCTGTGCTGCTGGAAGGAGCTGGCTGCAAAAAGGGACGATATGTGGTGGCACATGCTGGCCAGGATCCAGTACATGCACTCCAGCAGCCTGATCCTGCTCCTGGGTGAGTGAGACAGCCCCATCTCATCCATACACAACCCCATCTTCTCTAGGGACAGGGACCCCATCTTTAGACCATGGCTGGCAGGCCTAGTGCCTAGGATGCCAGGATGGGGAGGGAGTCAAGTCAGAATCCCCAGCCACGGGGAGGTTTCCTGCTCTGCTCCTGTGTGAACTCCGGCTTTGACAAGCCTGGGTTCACATAGCAGCAGTGCGGAAACTGCTTGTGATTTGGACAGGAATCTTACCACATTCCTGTTCAAATCGCATGCTGTTCTCTGCAGTGCGATTTGCGTCAATACAAAATGTATTCATACTTGCTGATCAAAAAAGGGTTTCAGTGGTGTATCCCTAGTCTGCAGACTATTGATTGGAAGCCTTTTTGCTTCATTTTTAATTATGCTGGCATTTAACACTTGGCAAAAAAGTGCAGACATTAAAGTCCATGTATTTAATCACTGTGTACAGGAGGAACAGCCTGTCTAGTACCAAACTGCTGCTAAGCCCCCAGATGTCAACTGACAGTGATGAGCCTGAACAGGAGTCCAAACTTGGCATGTGTAACCGGGAGATAGTGCGGAGAGGAGCCCCCTCATCCTGTTCTGTGATTATGTGGTGAGTTCAAGAAATGATCTTTGGGGGGGGGGAATGTGCCAGGCCTATTTACTTTGCCTTTATCCATATTGAAACTTGCTAGATACCTGCTTATGCTTGTTTAAAGCTACAGTCAGCACTCCCTTTAAAGCAAACTTCAGGCTTCTTTAAAAAGGACCTATCGCCTTTCACCGAGTAGTACAGCAATGTGTAAAAATGATATGTAAAATGTATTTTACTAGTTTCATTGCCTTCTCATAGATTGTCACATAATGGAATGTAGCATCTCTAAAATATAAAAAAAAAAATCTGATATTTGGAACATTACAAACAAGCCAACAGCTGCTCCTTGTAATGTCACATTTTCCTGGACTACATGTGTGGAGCAAAATATGTTTAACATGTAACTGGCCAGATTTCTTGCGTCAATGATTTGGCAGAGATTATCGTGAACCACTTAGTCCGAGCACATTGGAACAATTGAATTATCCACTAAGCAGGAACTTAAGTCCCACTGGATGTCCAGGGGGGCATCTGAGATTTATACCCACCTTAAAACATTCTTCTAAAGAAGTGAACATTCTGTTCATTAAACACTTGCAGAGAAATTCTATGTCTGCTAAATATTCTGTTTACTACAAAATGTGAAGTATAGGTTATATGAGATAATAAATTAGACCTGGGAAAATTAAAGGTGGTTATACTTATTTTTTTTATTGAATTTTATGTCATGTAAATCAAATTGTATAAATGTAAAATATATTTTCTTTTGTGCTATTTATTGAATGTACCTGAAAAGTCCCATCACAATGGAGCTTGTGCATGCATTAATAGGGTTGTTGGTACAGACACTGTGTGCACAGTTATTAGGCAAGTTAGTATTTTTGGCCAAATCAACATTTTAATGCATATTGTCCAACTCCCAGCTGTGTAAACTTGAATGGTTATTGGATTTAAGCATATCAGGTGATGTATATGTGTTTAATGAGGGAGCGGTGGCCTACGGAGATCAACACCCTATATCAAGGTGTGCATAATTATTAGGCAGCTCTTTTCCTCCGGCAAAATGGGCCAAAAAAGAGATTTAACTGACTCTGAAAAGTCAAAAATTGTAAAAGGTCTTTCAGAGGGATGCAGCACTCTTGAAATTGCTAAGATAATGGGGTGTGATCACAGAACCATCAACTGTTTTGTTGCAAATAGTCAATAGGGTCGCAAGGAATTTGAGAAAAAAAGACACAACTTAACTTCCAAAGATTTGAGAAAAATCAAACTTGAAGCCACCAGGAACCCATTATCCTCCAGTTCTGTCATATTCCAGAACTGCATCCTACCTGGATTGCCAAGAAGTACAAGGTGATCAGAGACATGGCCAAGGTAAGGAAGGCTGGAACCTGACCAACTGCTGATCAAGATATATAGGCTGAAGCATCAAGACTGGGCCAAGAAATATCTGAAGACACATTTTTCAAAGGTTTTATGGATTGATGAGATGAGAGTGACTCTTCAGGGACCAGATGGATGGGCCCGTGGCTGGATCAGCTCCACTTCGACTCAGACACCAGCAAGGTGGAGGTAGTGTACTGATATGGGCTGGTATTGGACCTTTTTCAGGTTGAGGATGGACTCAAAATCAACTCCCTAACCTACTGCCAGTTTTTAGAAGACACATGCATCAAAGTACTGCAGTGCGTTGCTAGCCAGTAGAGGCCTTAAAGATGAAAAATGAATTACATGGCTCCCTTCCTCACCTGATCTAAACCCTATTGAGAACTTGTGGGCCTTTCTTAAACAGGAGATTTATGGTGAAGAAAATTGGTACACCTCTCTGAACAGTGTCTGAGAGGCTGTGGTTGCTGCTGCACAAAACGTTGATTGTCAACAGATCAAGAAACTGACAGACTCCATGAATGGAAGGCTTATGACTTATTGAGAAGAAGGGTGGCTATATTGGTTACTGATTTTTTTTTTTTTTTCTTAATTTGTAAATTTTGATTTGTTTATTATTCTTGCTTTAACAGATGAAAATAAACATGTTAGATGGGAAAATTTTCATTTAGTTGCATAATAATTCTGCATGCTAATAGTATGCCAAATAATTGTGCACCCATAGATATTCTAATAAAACGAAAACCTTACTTTTACTTTCTTAAATATTCCGGTTTAAGGTTTATTAACATTTTGGATTGACTGAGAGCACTGTAGTTGTTCAATAATAAAAATGAATCCTAAAAAATACAACTTGTCTAATAATTGTGCACACAGTGTACATGAGGCTGCTCACTCAAAATGCCCATAACTACTAACATTACATCCAATTTAACTCTACATTTGTGTACTCTACAGTTGCTGACACATTTTCTGTTTCTTTTTGTGCTGTAGTGTCAGAACTTGCATGATTCAGAGCATCTTACCTGGCTGATAGTCAATCACGTTCAAGATCTCATCAACCTGTCACATGAACCTCCAGTGCAGGATTTCATTAGTGCAATACACAGAAACTCAGCTGCCAGTGGTCTCTTCATCCAGGCCATACATTCTCGCTGTGAGAATCTAGCAACGGTGAGCATTCTTTTGGAGTTTTCTTTTAAGAATTATTTTTAATGTAAAATGTGAATTTACAGTTCAAAAAATGTGTATATTTAATTGAGTGAAGTGTTTAAAAGAAAAGTATGGCTAAAGTATCTCTTGCCAATACTTCTCTTCTGGGTCACAGGAGTGCACTTACTTTTGCTCTCCTGTGACCCAGAATCAGCTGATGGTGTGGTCAAGCGTGCTGTCAGCTGATGTCACAGAGCCACTCCAGGCTCTGGAAGCATCCCAACCATATTGTTGGGATCCACCCAGATGCCTGATTGACAGTTGGCTCCGGCTCATGGCACGCAGCTGAGAGCTGAAGCTAGCCCCTCCTTCCAGTCCCTATGTACAGCATGTCCCATCTACAAGTACCCTGTCCATAGATTGACAACACTGGTGTTTGATATCTTTGCAAAATGAACAGTGTTGCTACCCTGTTAAAGGAAGCAGGAGAAAAAAGGGGGCTATATTGTCTTTGATTGTGCCTCTAGCTCCAAAGTATGTAGCAGCAGCGGAAAAGAGCTGTATTGATTGATAGTCAGCAATCTTCTCTACAAGCAGAGAAGCTATGACACCCCAAAGGAGGAGAATAGGACAAGCCATGTTCCAGTTCACTCAGCACCCATTGACATCTGCTTTGTGTATTGGAGACACTTTCTCATAATACCAGACCATTTTATACCATTTTCTCCTCTTACTGTAGTGTTTTTTTTTTGTTTTTTTTTTCTTTTGGTTTGGTTTTGTTTTTTTAATTCAAGTGGAACTACACAGAGACATGTAAAGCCATGAGTGTATAACACTTTAGTGTCGATGGGCTTTTATTTGCTTCACAAATGCTTCTCTCTCCATACAAGTCTGTGAGAATGCAATAGCAGGTCAAATGCACTTGCAGTCAATTGTGAATGATATCAGAAGCATCTCAAACTGATAACAAAAGCATGCTTCATTTGCCCATCGAAGCCCGTTGACATAGGCCTTTAGGTCTGCCTAACACAGCTGGCATATTATTGCTGGCAATGGATGCCTCCAGCTGTACAGCCATTGCTCTGCCTTTTCTAGTGTGCACATCTACAATGTTTGCTTGTTTTCATCAATACAATGATATATTGGTAAGACAGATTTTGAGTGCATATTTACAAAGTTATTTTGCACCCACCAGCCAACATCTCTGAAGAAGACATTGCAGTGCTTGGAAGGCATTCACCTGAGTCAGTCTGGCGCAGTGTTGATGTTGTATATAGACAAACTGCTGTGTACGCCGTTCCGTGTGCTGGCTCGCATGGTGGATACACTAGCCTGTCGTCGGGTAGAAATGCTGTTGGCAGCACCATCTCAGGTACTGAACTTTAATTCCAAAGGAAATAATATTTAACGTCTTACCATTTATTTATGTATCTTCTGTATGGTGTACTGACAGATATTTTGTATTCTTACAGAATAGCACTTCTCAGTTACCTTTAGAAGAGTTGGACAGAATACAGGAATATCTGCAGAGCAGTAGTTTAGCACAAAGGTAAGAAGAAAACGAATGATCAGCATGACAATGTTAAATGTCACGATAGCCACAGAAATAAAGATTTGCTTAACCGCTTTCCCGCCGACATATAGCAGAAATGCTGCTACAGGGCAGCAAAGGTGCGCAAAATCACGTGTGTATATATACGTCATTTAGCATTTCTGGGTAGGGGGCGCTCACCCTACCCAAGCCGCTATTGGTGGCCTCACCTGTCGATCACCAGGTCCCAGACGGTGATTCCCCGCTGGCACTCGGCGATCTCCTTATATCACGGACGGGAGAGAGACCTGTATGTAAACAATACAGATCTCTCCCTTGTCAGCTCCTGTAGATTGCTTTGTATTGCTCTGCATAGCAGAGCAATACAAAGCAATGTGCTGACACAGTAAAGCGCACACTGTAAAACAGCACACAGTTAACCCTTTGATCGCCCCACATGTTAACCCCTTCCTGCCCAGTGCCATTAGTACAGTGTCAGTGCTTTTTATTAGCACTCCCCGCCACAGTCCGGCTATAAGTCACTGATCGCTGCCATTACTAGCATAAAAAAAGAAATTCCAGTATCTATACCGCCATTTGTATACGCTAAAACTTTCACGTAAACCAATTAATTTACATGTATTGGGATTTTTTTTTTAGTAAAGACATGTAGCAGAATACATTTTGGCCTAAATTTATGATGAAATTTGATTTGTTATATTTTTTTACTGGACATGTTTAATAGCAAAAAGTCAAACATATTGTTTGTTTTCTCAAAATTGTCAAGTCTTTATTTTTTGCGCTATAAAAGAAAAAAAAAATGCAGATACCACTGAAAGAAAGCTCTATTTGTGGGGGGAAAAGGGACATACATTTAATTTGGGTGCAGTGGTGCATGACCACGCAATTGTCAGTTAAAGTAACGCAGCGCTGTATCTCAAAAAATGGCCTGGTCAGGAAGGGGGGTAAATCCTCCGGAGGGAAAGTGGTTAATGTAACAAAGAAGAGTATCACTACAACTTAAAATCCTTTTTGAATCCCCCAGAGGACCAAGTGCAATGAGGAACCTGGTTCCATTCTGATTTGTGCTGTAGCTGTGCAATAAATGAGCAACATTTTCTTAATGCTGGTTGTAGCTCTACCCCAGGCTGAAGTCAAAATTATGAACGGGGGTGGGAGTACAGCCAGCACTGATGCCGCCTCCACTTCTATGTGTGCTGTGCGTTTCCTGTTTAGAGTATTGTGCCTGAGAATTGTTCTGGATAACTTGATCATAGACAAAATAATTACTTTGTGCCTGTGATCAAGTGATCCAGACATACAATAAGTATAGTACACAAGAATGCAATCAGGAAGTACAGTATAGATCATTGTCTGCTCCCACTACCTGTATGGTTCAGCCTCACCTGAGTACTTTTCACATTGCCCTTCCCTTCCTTCTGTCCTGTTTGGGCTCTGTGTCTCAATGCTATCTTCACACACATTCTTGTCCATGCCCGGCTCTGATGTCACCCCTCTGCCTTTTCCAGTGGCTGCAGGCACATGATTGAATGGGCAGTGTTGTGAGGAACTACAAGTCCCAGTGCTGCTCATTCACTTTCTTTGCCACAGGCAGAATTATAATTCCATGAACAAACAAGGAGCCTTGCACTGACAGGGTTTCCCTACCTCCACTGTAGTGAATGAAACCATTGGTCTCCAGAGAGCCCTACTGCCAGAGACCAGCACTGTCACTTGCACATAAATATAGATCCCGTCTCCATGCTAGAGCATGGTCAACAAAATGTCCAACCACACTACCCAGCAACTACAGCAGTGTTTCTAAACCTTTTTTAGTCAAGTCGCCCTTTAAAATTCTACACCATCTTGAGGCACCCCATTCTAAAATGTAAGTAAACAAACCGTTTTACATAATGCAGCAGTATCCACACATGTAGGACACCCAGCATGAGGTGATTTATTTTTTCAGAGCTATACAGTATACTTTTGCACAGTAGTACTGAGTAGTATTCCAGTGTTCCTCTTCTCCCTCAGATTCTCTTCATTACTCAGCTAACATGACCCCAGTGCTGATGGAGAGGGACAGGGGAGGCGCAAAATAGGAAGCTGTTCCGGCACCCCATGTCCTCCTTATCAACCAATTACATTTTTGGTTGTTATGATGCTGGCGGCAGGCCCGCATGATGCCCATGGCTGTAATACTGCACAATAAAAACCTATATCTTTGTATAGCAAAAAGGCAGGCGTCATCCACCTGCTGGCTTGTACACAATTGTTGGGAAACTTGGAGCAATTTTATGCATTTTGCTAAGGCATCCCAGAGCAATCTAGAAGGCACCCTGATTGAAAAAGCACAGCACAAATTTTGGTGGGACCAAGTGCAATGTGCGCTGGGTCCCCTGGGGAGTTCAAAACAATTTGAAGTGATTCTGATTCTTTTTTTTTTTTTTTTATCTAATTCTCACTCTCATCTACCTACCCACCCATTTACTTTTTCTCCTTTCCCCCCCATACCTATTTTTTTTTCTTTACCCTACTTTTTTACCCATGCCATCCCCACAGGTTCAGGTCAACTAAATAGCTTTTTTTTTCGTCTGCAGGATATAGTTTTTTTTTTTTCCCCTAAAGTACTCTAAACTACCCTGTTTATAAATAGGCAAGATTCTGTTGGTAAATTGATTTCACTATTCCAGGAAAGTAGTAGCAAAAAGCAGGGATATACTGCAGAAAAACAAATATGTTTGGGTTATTTAATTGCCTAAAAGAAAGGGGTGAAATAAAATAAATGTCACCTCTTTCTAAAGAAATACCTGGCACTGCAGCTGTTTGCAGTTTGTGCAGTTTGAGAACATTACAGTGTATAAAATATTATTGCGGAAATGTATGTATTTTGCATTCTATATTCATCTCAGCACGTCTATATTCATTTCAGCCTATCACTTTTATCTTTTGCACTGTCTAGGCACCAAAGACTTTATTCTCTGCTGGACAGATTTCGGGCAACTGTGGCTTCAGACACAGTTAGCCCCTTACCTTTGGTGACCTCTCACCCGCTGGATGGGGAAGGTCACCCACGACTGGAAACGTTGGACCCAGATGAGGTGTGTGAACCACACTTAACTTATGATTAATATGTTTTGGAGATGGATTGTTTATACTATATCTCATGTGATGTCAAGAAATCAGTTAGGTTTTTCTCATTGTAGGGACTGGTATGTGTCCCTGGTACGTTCCCAGTGTTACGCACACTCTGATTCTGCACTGCTGGAAGGAGCAGAACTGGTGAACAAAATACCTCAGACTGATCGTCTCACCTTCATGACCAACAAGGTAAGATCCTTACAACGGAAGTCATTAAATGGTGTCATGCTGATGGAACTTTATTAGTTTTACAAGAGAATCTGTACTTTAAATGCTTAGCTACCGGTGTTTCTTTCAGGCTCCTTGCAGCTGGTCCTCTTTCCATTACAGACTCCCGATATCTTGTGTCACACAGTCTCTGTGGCACAATAATTCAGTAATTTTAGTCCAAAGTATTACTGATATAGAGTATCAATAAAAGTCAACATGTTCTTGAGGGCTGAAGCAGTAGATACTATAGGACTAGCAGTGAGGTAGAATTAAGATACCTGAAATGAGGTTAGATCTGAGCTGTCAGATCAGTTAGTTTGAAAGATTACTGATCTGACAGCTCAGATTCAACCTCATTTCAGGTTTGTTTTTTGTGCTAGTGTCCTTAACCCTCTCTAGCTGGCTGCATGCATATATGAGGCCTCTCAGCGATTGGTCTTTAGCGCCAAGTGGGTTCATGTATGCGTCTATATGTAAACAGTTTACTGCGCTGAGAGCATGCTCTGTAAACTGTCACGGGAGCTTTCGATCATGTGGCCGCTGTGACAGCTATCACATGATCTGAATGCCTGCCTCCACTTCCTGGCATTTTGATCTACTTAAAAAAACTCAGAGGCAGCAGGAAGGGGTTAAGTGATGGATATCCTTCCCTGTGTCTCTCTGAAGATACTGTATCTCTCATGGGCTCTGTTCCCATAACTCATGGCCTGTACCTTACACCCATAATGGGACAGAGATGAGCTTCATTTGGATTGGTTGCTACAGCCAGCAGGCCCAAAGGGACCATACCCAGGCCCTGCATACAAGATCAGGGGTGGCCTGTAACGTCTGCCAGTTGGGGCTGGATAATGCAGGTGTGGTCTCCCGTGTACAGTGTATCTGGTGACCTCGCTGGCAGGGTGCTGCACAGATCCAGGGAAGTGGCCCCCTGAAGGGAAGTAAAGTGTTTGAAGACCCTACAGCAAAGAATCACCAGGGAGCTCCATCAAAGGGTCCAACGCTTTTATTGATGAATTATCATCAATAAAAGCACTGAACCCTTTGGAGTTCCCTGGTGTGCTGTTGACTTTCTTTGCTTTGAGTCATTCAGGTTTCCAGCCGGCAGTTGCTTTAGCATCCACTTACTTTATGACAATTTACAGGAACAAGTGAGTTGGGAATGTTGTTTTGGACTTGAAGAGACCCAACAGGGTGCACCCGTCCTGGTTTTTGGCCTGCTGGCCTTGCAACTGAACTGGGGAATTATGTGGCAGCTTCTCCTAAGTGTTCCCTGTGACTTTTCGGTGTGTTGGAAGTGCCTTGGATCGTTTTGTCTGGGCTGTGCTTGAGGCATTGTGAGGGACCGCCGAGCAGCACCACTAGCACTCCACTGGTCAGGCGCGCGCCCAGAGCGCGGAGTCTAAGCCCCAGGGTACTTGTTCACCAGGGCCCCTGATGGTGGGGATGGACTTGTAGTACCCCGAGACCAGGTCGCCACTACTGAGCACACCTGTCAGTGGTAGGGGTGTTCGCCAGGGGCTCCAACCAGGGAGAGCCAGATGTGAGGAGGTCGGGTGACCCCGATGGGATGGATGGATGGCTGAGCAAGTGCGAAGTCAGACAGGCCGAGTCGGTAACGTAGAGGACGGTAAGGTACAAGGGAGCAGGCAGAGAATCGTCGGGTCACACGCCAGGTCAGCAACAGGAGGTCAGATCTAATGAGGGGCATCCAGGGAGAGAGGTCAGGCAAGCAAGGGTCTGGGCAGGAGAAATCAGCAGGTCAAGAACAATCCGGGTCAATAAACTTACAAGGCACAGGTACAGAATCACAGGAAGCAGGTAAGACCAGAAGGCAACGAAATGACAGCTCAGGGACCTTTAAATATCCCGCCCTGCGCTGCCATTGGTGCCCAGCGGGCGGCCGCGGCTTCTACTGCGCATGCGCGAACTCGAACGCCGCGGCCGGCCCGGACCTAGTGCCCGTGTACAGGGCGGAGCAGTGCGCCTGCTCCGGGACCATCGCGGCAGGGATCGAGGGGATCCCTGACAGGCATCATACATCGGTGGCAGGGTACAATAGAGTCAGTCTGGCCTTTCAGCCTCTAAGCTAGCACAGCAAGGTATACTGTCACACCACTTTGAATGCAGATGCTCTGTCTCCAACACTACTTTACAGTTGTTGCAGGTGCAGCTCTGCACTCCTTACTTCCAGGCACAGCAATTATTGGAACATTGTTTATTGGTGCTGACAGGCAGTTAGGTGATCTAACTTGGGTCGAAATCCCTTTCAGTCGGGTGGCCCCTTCCCTCTGGTTACAAAGGTTGTTGTAACCTTCAGCAAGCCATTGCTTAATGCAGACAGAATTGGGGGTATGGGGTGGACCAAATTCCTCTATCAGGACCCTTTGCAAAATTTACCTTGCAATGGCTCCCCAAAAGGTCAGATTGGTTCTGAATTCCTTCCTTATCTGGTATTTCTACTATCTCAGGGATACAATCCTCCATTTCCTTTGGGTTACTTTTCTGTAGCCATATTTGGACTGCACAAATAGCTCTCAGGGTTTCACGCTGCCTTGGAAAGCTTGGGACTCAAATGTGGTTGCTCCTCTTACCATCCTCCCCTTTTGAGGGAGGATAAGGCTGTTGTAGAATTCTTCAGGATGATGAAGAGATGGAATTGTTCAAGGATCAAGAATACTTTGTGGATGAATCCTCTCAGTAGGAACCTCTGGGTCCGGGACTTTAATACACAAAAGATCAAGGAGGGCTTTCTGGAGGATATTGTATTCTCTAACATTAAGTTACCACTGGCAGAATCACCAGATGAAAGTAAAGGAGAAATCTTAAAAATGAAAACTTAAGCAGCCACCTTATCTAGCTAACATATTTGTAAGCTACAATTTAATATATTTTTGGGGGGGTTAAATAGCGCTTTATGGTACCTCATAGAGACCCTCAGATCCAAAAGGCACACCCCTCATGCACTTCTGCATGAGGGTTCTAGGCCTAATAGTAGTCTCCTTTGAGGCAGTTCCCTTTTTGTCCAGTTTTACTCAACGACAATTCATCTAAACATCCTCACCTCATGGACCAAACTTGTCCAATTTGTTGCCTACCCACAAGGTGGGTACCAAAAATCTAGCTGCCATAGGAGAAACAAATTTGATCCTCTCCTGGGTGGAAATTCACATTTCAGCTCTCTCTGCCATCCACATCCCTGTCATAGACAATTGGTAGGTGGACTTCCTAAGCCATCAACACATAGACCTTGAGGAATGGTCTGTGCGCCCTGAGATCTTCCAAAATCTCTGTTAGTTGTGAATGGAACCAGTTGTGGATATCCTGGCCTCCAGGTTCAATAACATAGATTTGTAGCCACCACAAGGGATCCCCTAGCCTTCACAGTGGATTCCCTGTTGATACCTTGGACATTCAAGCTGATCTATTCCTTCCCCTTGGTAAAGATTTTCCCTCAACTGTGCAAAATAGAGGTGGAAAGGGCTCCTTTGATTCTTATCGCACCAAATTAGCCCAGAAGGAGGTGGTACACAGATTCTCAGACTAACTGGCAGATGAACATTGGTTGTTGAAATCCAGTTCCTGAAAGATAGGGGGATAATTGACTCCGTATTCTCTACCTTTCTTGAGTGAGAAAATCTACATCCCACAAGATCTACTTTCACTCATGGAAAACCTACTTTTCCTGGTGAATGGACAGAAATGTGAGTCCCAGGGAATACACAGTTTTTGTACCTTGTTTCTTCAGTCTGGTCTAAGGGGTTATTCATCTGCATTATGTAAAAAGGCTGTTTGATTCTGTATTCTCTGATCCTCCCCTTCTTCTACTGTCCCCATTTCATCTGCTGATACTACAGAGCCCTAGGAGACATTCTGCACATGTTCAGCTTAGTGTGTATTGCTAGAGAGTATTTTTTTTTTTTGGGAGGGTGTGATCGACACAGGACCAATCAGCACTGTCCAGACAGAGGATCAAGGGTTATGCAGCCTCATAGGACAGTCAGAGGAGAATGAAACGCCTCCTACACGTCTAACCAGTTCTCAGCCGGACACTGATAGGAGTCGAAAGACTGCTATATACCGCTGATGAGAGAAAGTGTATTAAGCGGTCTATATTTACTAAAATAATTGGATTTCCATGTTCTGTGTACTGTGGGAGACCAGATATAGTGAATTTAGGGTCCTGGGTTTAATAACACCCAGTTGCTCATTTTTATCCCTCGATTCAATCTTTTGTGTCACTTTGTAATCTGAACCTGGTGCTCTGTGTATTCTAGAGAACCTCTCCCCCCTTTGAGCACATCAGAGATATCATCTTGTAAAATTACCTTCCTTATGGCCATTACATCTGTTAGGTATGTTTTTGATGTGGAAGATATTCCTTGTAAGTAGACGTTTCTTCTATTGTACAGAGACCAAGACCTTCTTTTGTACCCAGAGTGGTTTCTTCATTCCACCTCAGGATATTGTCCTTCCTTCACTTTTTTCCCCACTTCAAAACAAGCCAAGGAAATTTCCCTGCACTGCGTAGATGTTGTCAGGGTCTACTTTACCAGCTGTGGCTTTTATTCACCAAACAGAATGCATACTTCCTACAGGCTCTTGTAGGGGACATCCTGTCTCCTGTTGCACCATTGCCAGTTGAATCAGTGTATTTCCAGGGCTTAGGGCTTACAGAGTTGATTCTTTCCCTATGAGAATTGATTCCACCAGATCGATTTTGTGTTTATTCTTGGGCTTTCCTTTTCCAACTGGTCTGTTTTTTCAGAATTTACAGGAGGATTTTCAGGCCTCAACTGATGCCAACTTCAGCGACAAGGTGCTTCAAGCTATCATCTGAGTGTTTTTTGAGTTTTTAACCCTTATTTTTTTGTGGACCTGTTGGCAGCCCTGTTTGCTATGATGTTACCCACCCCTCAGTCTATTGCTTAGGGGTGTCACATGGTCTATGAATACATGCCGTGTATCCTGTATTGTATGAGGAAAGAAAAAACAGAGGGCGCACAGGCCTAGTGCATTACCATAAAAAATGTTTAATAAAAAATAAAGTATGTGTTGTACTCACAAACGACAATAAAGTCAAGGCACATCATAAAGAACAGCTGGGTCAATACCACGCTGAGTAACAGTCCGTAATAGGGAGTATAGACATCCAAAACTGCGCGTTTTGAGGACTTGCCTCTTCCTGAGAGCTCTGCCTTGACTATATTGTCGTTTGTGAGTACAACACATACTTTTATTAAACATTTTTTATGGTAATGCACTAGGCCTGTGCGCCCTCTGTTTTTTCTTTCCTCATTCAGTATATTTGGATTTCCCCGATCCATTTGAGGGCAGCAAGGTGTGCATGTTCCAGGACATTCTTAATGTGGTTGTAGCCTGCATCGAGTCCATCCCCAAGTGCAGGAGCATTTGTGTTTGCTGGTTCTTTATCCTGTATTGTATGTTTGTATTCTCTATGTTGTACAGTACAAACACAGGACCCTCTCTCCTGTTTCCTGTGGTCGCTTCTTATTGCTTGTTAAACCCCCCCCCCCCCCCCCCCACCCCCCCCCCAAAAAAAAAACTGGAGTCTCACTAAGCGGCTGGGGTTATAAGAGCAAGCACTAGGGGAGGCCCTAGCAAAGTTCCTGCCAGTGTCCAGTCACTTGAAGATAGCTTGCATATAATACATGTTCTATGTGATTACAAGCCACGTGTCCTGTACTCCAAGATCAGGAATTTACAGTTAAGCCAAAATTTCTTTTTTCTTGGGTAACATGCACCTTAATATAGATTGGCATCTTTCATCTAAGGCTTTCTGCACAGAAAAAAATTATTATTGTAGATTTTCTATAAAGTCTGCAATTTTGACATGCAAAAGATAGACTGGCGATGGATTCAACTGAGATGTTTTTTCTTTTATTTGTAGAAGTTTAACATGAGCATGCTAGGTCCATGTTTGGCTTTGGGAGTGAACCAGATGATAGTGGATCAGGACAGCAGTTTCTTTGAAACAACCCAGTCTGTCCTACTGGATCTCATCTCACAGACCGTTCAGCAGCTGCCAGACACTCATCAGATCTTTCAGCCTCTGAAGCCAATGGAGAAAGATTCCTACTGGGAGAAACTAATCATAGTGTTGGGTAAGAACTCTTTTCTGACACAACTAATGCAACCATGTCACTAAAAAAATAAAAAGCATCTCTAAAAGACACTTAAAATTTGCCTGTTCCATCTCCTATTCGTAGAGTCTTCGCTCTGTTGCTTTGAAAAGGTCCAAAGGATCTTGACAACAAGCAAACTCCTGCATGTGTCTGATGTTAGCTTCCCCCACTGCATTAGTTGTAATGTAGGAGCCAGATGGAAGAAGCACAGGACACGTTGAAGGGCACAAGCATCTTGCACACCGAGAAGTGTTTTAGATGTAAAGATTTTTAAGACTGCATTGCACAGCAACAGAGCAAATATTTTAGGAATGGACACCAGGACAGATGAGATTTGAAGTGTTTTCTTTTAGAGGTGCCTTTTGTTATTCATTTTATTTTCAGCAACTGGATCGTTTTAACCACCAGTCTTCAGGTCATGTCAGAAGGTTGACTCATTTATCACCAGAAGCAGAATCTTCTAAATTCAACTTCAGGTTGCTCTCTCTCTGTCCAAGATACTGCTAAAACTGATTCGCTATCAAAGGATCAGAAATAGAGCAACTCCAAAAGATAAAGTGAGTTGAATTCCAGCGATTCTGAGACTGAAGACTGAATCCCACTTGAGTCTGTGTGCTAGAGCCTACAGCTGTTAGTTTGGTGGTGTCATATACCATTACTGAGAACTGTCACCCCATTACAATGAACTGTCACCATTTCCATGCAACCATCCGTGACAGTTTATTCAAGTTGTGTTCTGATCCAGAACCACTGATCAGATTTCTAAACCAAGCAGGGCAGGATTAAATCTGATTGGTGGTTCTGGATCAGCAATCAACTGCTACTCACTCATTGGTAGCAGCTGCACTGTTCCATTGCTCTAGAACTCCTCAGTCTGCTTATTATATAATTTATTGATGTATGCAGAGCCCCTCAGAGGCTGATGACAGTGTGTTATATAAATGCAAAAGTTATGAGGAAATTTCATGTATTTAAAATACCCATAGAATTTGTCATTAAATACATTTGCTAATTTGATTGAAGTATACTGCAAACATTTTGAAGAACAGTAATATAAGGAAAAATATTTTAAATTGATGTAGTATATTTTTCAGGATAACTTGTGTGTTTGCATGTATTTTAAATGCATGAACAAAATAACATTCTTGTTTATTCTAATTAGTATTTGAGTACATGTAGGCTTCATGAGTTTAGTGGTGTTGCACTCAAGAGCTGTAATAGAACTTGGCACAAATGGTAATTTCTCCTCCCTCTATTTGTCATGGTGATAATTTTCACCAAGATATATAGTAATGGGAAATTATAGTTTTAGAATTGTTAGAGCAAAAGATAAGGCTTCAGTTGATCACATTTGTGTAAGATGTAAAGGAAACACTCTCCATAGGGACCTTGCAGCCGACAATAAACGGACAGGGGTGTTTACCCTTCACTACTCCATCCAAAACTAAAAAGACATTTTTGACCATACATACATAAAGAAATCTTTGTACATGCTAAGCAGAGGCATAAAAAGGTTGCATCAGACTTGATAAACTGCACCAAATGCTAATCATTGGCATTTTGTACTCTTCAGCTTTGTGTGACTGTGCATTACAGCCTTGGGTATGCCTTCCTGTAAGGGGGGGGGGGGGGTCTTGCATGCTGTAGATTCACTGCATTTTAAGTAACAGTGTTGTGATATTTCATTCAGGTGACTCTGAAGTATATTACTCCCTTGTCACCCTTTGTCGAGCGCTGGCGCAGTACCTGCTGTCACTCCCCAAAATACCTCAGTCTTTCCACATACGGCAGGAAAATGAAGTGGACATAATGAAATTTGTGGTCATGTCAGTAGAGGTAAGAGAAAATGTATCTTATTTTTGAAAAAACATGGGCAAGAAAAAGTTTTGTTTCAACTCGCCATTCCTTCAGACATGCAAACGAAAGTTGCTTTGTTTGCAGGCAGTGTCCTGGCATTTTGTGCAAGAACCGGTACCACTGAGTGTGGATCTCCAAGCTGTGCTGGAGTGTTGCTGTCTAACTTTACAACAGCCTGGACTGTGGAATTTGGTGGCTTCTGCAGAGTACGTGACCCAAGCCTGCTCCCTTATCACCTGCATTCGCTTTATTATAGAGGCTGGTAAGTGATTTATATGAGCTGTTGCTCCTATCTCCTGATGTGTATAGTAGTATAATGGCTTTTTGAAGTGCCAGTAACACAGCTGAATGACTGGGGTAGGGCTTCTTGTCTTTGGGACTTCTGCATGTCACTGGAGTTGCATGCAGTAATTTCTTTGCACTGGAATGCTTAGCCCTGTTATAGTGTAAGCATTGGGAGTTTGAGCCAGGAGCATTGGAAGTTTGGGTCAGGAGACCTTTCCTGTTTGCTTAGCTTGCATTGGACATCCATCTTCAATAATCTGATATTCTGGTAGGTGACATTTAGGCCTCTTTCACACGGCGGGTCCAATCAGGTCCGTCTGTCAGTTTTTCATGCAAACCTGATCAGACGGTTCATTCACCTCTACGGGCTGGTGGGTGTAAACAGAATTGTGTCTGTTTACACCCACCTACCTTCGATGCAGTCCGGCCTTTATCCCTTTCGCTACCATGTTTGCATTTTTTGCACACGTTTAAAAAACCATTTTAGGCCTGAAGATTACATAAAATCCCCAAACATTATATATTTTCTGAAAGCAGATACCCTAGAGAATTAAAATAGTGGTAGTTCCAATTTTTTATATCGCATGATATTACCGCAAAATTTCAGTAAAAAATACAAGTAAGTTAATTTTAGGGAATAAAAAAGCAATACATTACCCTATTTTTTTGTACTATATAAAGGATGAAGTTGCATCAAGTAAATAGATACCCAACTTGTCAAACCTTAAATTTGTGCACGCTCGTGAAATGGCAACAAACTTCAGTACACTATAATTTCTATAGGTCGACACCTTTAAAGCTCCTTATAGTCATCAGTTTAGCGTTACGGAGGAGGTCTGCTGCTAGAATTATTGCTCTCGCTTTGGCGTGCATAGCGATATGTGACATGTTTATAGCAATCAGCGTTTTCTTGCATAGGCACCCCAGCGTATGTCTTTACATTTGTACATATGTTTGTGGGGGTGGGGAGGCCTCAATTTTTTTTGGAGGGGGGGGAGGGATGGTATGTGCTTGGGTGTAACTTTTATTTTTTACAGTTTTTTTTTACTTTTTTTTCATCACATAGGGGACAGAATCCCCTATGTGATTATTTTTTTGGTGACAGGTTCTCTTTGAGGCATCCAGGGTCTAAAATACCCCTGCATGTCTCCCCTGTACTCCACTGAATGTAATGCAGTGCACATCACACCACATTACATTCTTTCCCGGCTTCCATTGCCAGGAATCTCAACGGGGACCCGAAAGTGACATCATAACGTCACTTCCAGGTCAGGACCATAAGAGGAGGGGAGCGGACGTGTCTGTTCCCCCCCCCCCCCCCCCCCCCCCCCTCTAGCTGACGGCGGTGAGGGGGGGGAGGGCCCGCACTGTGTGGAAGCAATCGGAAGTAGAAAAAAAAAACTACTACCTGACCGACGCTTGAAACTACATATACTGGGTGTCAGCCGATAGGAATCAAACATCCCTGGTTAAGGGATTTTTGGCATTACCTGTAGATTTATCCTGTCCATTCTTGGTAAGTAAATGCTAAATGTGTTAAGTTCTGCAGGACATAGGTTTTCATGTTGTCACTAGCTGTAGTTAGGGTTTTTATGTTAGGTGCTGGGCAGCTCAACTAGAACAACAGTGTATCTTGAGTATGTGCATTCCTAAACGTTGATTAGCAAAAACATTCTATTAACCATGCTGTCATCCCTCGCACATTAGCAATAAATCAGTATGACTACTAGGTGAATGACTTCTACTAAAGTATAAAAGCTTTTTCCTAGTTCTCTTATTGTTTAATAGAAGCTGGTGAGGGTCCTGTATGAAAGAAGGTGGGTAGGGATGGTGCATATTGTCCTTATGGGTGTGTTTACAGTTTTACTTACTACATGTAAAATGCAGAAAGAGCCCAGAATTGGAGATTTTCTTTGTTAAAGAAAAAACTGGGTAGATAACCTGCTTGTATGAATTCCCAAACCCTGTACAGCTTGGTGGTAAGTATGCTTTCATCATGTCATGTCATAATAGGCTGGTCAGGGATATGGGCCATGTGGGCTGAGGTTGAAATTAAAAGGATATAAAACACGTCTTATATTGCATTGCCTGTATGTTTTAGTTGCAGTTCAACCTGGAGAGCAACTTCTGAGTCCAGAGAGGAAGAAAGACAGCTCGTCTGAAGATCAAGAAGGAGATGAGGTGGATTCGGGAGTGCAAGGTACACAGGGTGTTGATGCTGTGCATATATTATATACCTTTTATATTGCAAGATGAAAACATTGGAAACATTGATGCCTAAATCTTAAGGAGTTACCCTGGCCGTGTTCCTAATCACCCCTTCACTAGTACCATGGTCTCCAAACTGTCCATTTTTGCCCTTTGTTAGGATCCAGACAAAATTTGCCAAGTGTATTGCCAGCTTAAGTCTCTAATTTTAGTACAGAAAGTTTAGATTTTAAATGTGATGCACTTATAGGTTAAAAAGATATAAATAAACCTACGCTGTAAACCAGTGGTCTCAAAATTGTTGCCCGTGGGCCAGATATGGCCCTTTGCTTGCACTTATCTGGACTTTGGAGTACTATTCCACCAACTGACACTAATGATGGAGCACCATTTCTCCTACTGACACCATCAATGGGGCACTATTCATCCCATTGAAACCAATGATGGTTCACTGATGCCGGGGCATTTACTACTCCCACTGGCCACAGTCTGGTTGCCCTAAAACCCAAAGGACAATAAAATGGCCCCTTGCTTGGTAAGTTTGGAGACCCCTGCTCTGAAAAATACCGAAACTTTACCCCAAGTAGCTGGAAAATCTATCTCCTTGGATATTGCAAGCAAACAAAATATACCCGCACTATACCATCAAACAAGTGATAAATACTAAAAGATAAACACTTTAAAAAAGTAATGAATCTTCAATACAGTGCATTATTAAACTATAAACCCCAATAAAAAAATGTCAGTGAAAAAAGTACAATTACAACCCACACCTCAAACAGTAATAACTCATAAGCAATTGAAAAAAAACTAAAAAAAAAGAACCTAAAAAATGATGGTTCATTAATGTCCTTTTAACCACTGCGAACCCCAAATTCCATTTCTCCTTCCCAATATATTCCACCTCTTGTAAACCAAAAAAGGCTAATCAAATGTATATGACCTTTTATTTCTAAGCAGGTCATAAATCACCAGATAAGTAAATTGGAATACAAGCCGGCACCGGTTAAAGCTTATAGATATAGATCAATCTTCCACTTATCACCATATACCTTGTATTAAACACAAACATTCTCCATAGTGTAATATGTTCAAAAAAGTGCATTTCTTGTATAACAAATGTGCACTCACCCTTAAAATCACTGGACTGATACTCTTAAAAGCAGGCGTTTTGTCACAAGTACATTTTCAGGAGACAGCGAACATGAAATGACTGAATGGCTTTGTGGGACTGCTTCTTCAAGGCAGCTACAGACATGCTGGATCGTGTTTTGGGAGATTGTATGGGATCAGGGTATACATGGGTGACTGGGGGGAGTGCAGGGGAATTTATGTTTGACCAGATCTCACATCACTTTAATATTAAGACTAAAAAACAAAGGATCCCCCGCTATGTTCACAAGTAAGGTGGATGGAGGAATATGCCCCCAATGGGACAATGTATTTGGACAACGGGACCAACCTCTTCAATCATCGATAACTTAACTTGACCAAGGGTATCACTTAAATTCCAAACTTTTTGCATTAATCAATGGCTAACACGGTATACCACTCAACTAAATTTAGTACAGTAATAAAAACATTAGAAGAGCAAGCTTCTAGAATTTTGAAAGCTATATTAAACATTTATTTAAGATAAATATTGTGATAACTCAAAATGCTTTCTGAAATTACACTATACCCTTCCTCCTATCATCTAAATGATTACCATGCATATGGCTCATACTGGAGCAATGACAAGGGAATGTCAAGTATTACACAAAAGTAAAGATAGACAGACATACTTGGCAATCAGCAGCAACTTGCTTGCGCACAGTATATGAAGACGAGAAGTCTGTCACATGTTGTACATTAAATAAATCACTACTAACCCATGCTATGTTATCCACAACCATTAAATAGACGAATATGTAAAAAACTACATGATCAAAATGAAATATTCAAACTTAAAAGAAAAATAAGAAAAAATGGCTGTAACTGTTACATGGGTTCTATAACCTCCAGTTATGTAATCCAGGTTCACAGCGTTGCGCTTCTTAATCTTTCCCACATGTGTTACTCAATATCCACAAAAACAAATAGTGTTCGTGTGGAATAAGTGTCCAAATACTATAGTCTCTATAGTGCTGGTGCCGAATAATAAATCTTCTGTAATCTTGTATGCACTTGTGCAACATTCCACATGCATGGATCCCAGTGCCATGCCTCCCTTTGGTGTCCCTGCATTCACAAAGATCTGTGGACTCTGTGCTAAAGCATCTAGAGTCAAAAGTGTTTGCGGCGCTATTTCCATTGGCACAGCTGGACTCCCTGGTTACGCTCTTCACTGTTGCTCTCTGCTTTCCACCATTCCTCCACTTTGTTGGCACATATCTATAAAGATGTCTCTGTCATTATTATTATAATTATTATTATTATACATGATTTATATGGCGCCAACAGTTTGCTCAGCGCTTTACAATAGAACGGGAGACAATACAGCAACAATACAGTTTAATACAAGAGGGAAAGGAGGGCCCTGCTCCTTGGAGCTTACAATCTAGGAGGGAGCGGCTAGTGGTACAAAAGGTAGTAACTGTGGGGGATGGACTGGTTGGAAAAGTAGAAGATTCTATTAGCTGAGGGCAGGATAGGCTTCCCTGAAGAGGTATTCAGAGATCGTCTAAAAGTGAGCAGAGTAGGCGATAGTCTGATAAATTGGGGTAGAGAGTTCCAGAGGATGGGGAAAGCTCTGGAAAAGTCCTGGAGATGAGCATTGGAGGAGGAGACAACGGAGCTAGAGAGCAGGAGGTCTTGCGAGGAGCGGAGAGTACGGTTTGGGTGATATTTAGAGACAAGATTGGTGATGTAATTTGGGGCAGAGTTATAAATGGCTTTATACGTTATTGGTAATGTTTTGAATTTTATCCATTGGGCAATGGGAAGCCAGTGGAGGGATTGGCAGAGAAGGATGGCAGATACAGAACGGTTAGTAAGGTGGATGTGTTTGGCAGCAGCGTTCATAATAGACTGAAGAGGGGATAGCCTGTGATTAGGTAGGCCAATGAGGAGGGAGTTACAATAGTCAAGGCGAGATATAACAAGGGAGTGAATAAGTTGCTTAGTGGTTTCCGTGGTTAGGAACGGGCGTATCTTGGAGATGTTGCGGAGGTGAAGTCTACAAGATTTGGACAGTGATTGGATTTTGGGGTGAAAGGACAGATGGGAGTCTAGGATTACACCTAGTACTCTGGCATGAGGGGAGGGACTAATGATTGTGTTATTGATCTTGATGGAGAAGTCAGGGGAGGGGGCACGGGCTGGGGGGAATACTAAGAGCTCAGTTTTGGAAAGATTGAGTTTGAGGAAGTGGAGTGACATCCATGCTGATATGTCGCTTAGTAGGTTAGTGATGCGAGAGGAGACTGAAGGGGTGAGGTGAGGGGTAGAAAGATATATTTGTGTGTGATCAGCATAGAGATGGTACTTAAAGCCATGGGAGTTTATCAAGTGACCAAGGGAGGAGGTGTAGATGGAGAAGGGAAGGGGTCCAAGGACAGAACCTTGAGGGACCCCTACAGAAAGAGGGAGTGAAGAGGAGGAGGCAGCGTTATAGGTAACGCTGAAGGAGCGCTGCGATAGGTAGGAGGAGAACCAGGAGAGAGCAGAGTCTCTGAGACCAAGAGAGTGGAGATTTTTGAGGAGGAGGAGGGGATGGTCAACCGTATCAAAAGCTGCAGAGAGGTCAAGTAGTAAGAGTACGGAGTAGTGGCCATTGGTTTTAGCTGTTAGTAGGTCATTAGTGAGTTTTAGTAGGGCAGTTTCAGTGGACATCATGCAAAAGGACAAATGGGGGGGGCCCATAGCGTACATCCACTTTATTAGATCATACATAAAATTGGTTTACACTCACTTAGATGATGCAATGAAAGCTGAGATTGCAGAATCCAGAAGTGTGGCATGAGCATGTGATCCACGAGCCGGACGCACTTTGTAAGGCAAGGTAGTTTGCTGCCAAATGTGCAGTATGTGGCAGAGTTTGTTGTATGTTTTCCTAATAAAAGTCTTCTGTATCGCCTGTTGAGGAACTCAGAAATTCATAAACAGTTGGGATAAACTGCCAACTTAAGGAGGTTTGGACACTGGCAAACAGAAAATTGTAAGCCAACCTCTGCATAATCACTCCTGTACCCAGTATGCCTCAGCTTTTTTTTTAGTGTTCTAGGAGCATGGATGATTTGCTGAGTAATGTCTAAATGTGTTTTGCTAGCCTTTTTCATTTTTTTTTTTTTTTTTGTGGATTATTTCCTCTGTAACTGCCAGGAGGCTGGTCTGGACTTGCAGGGCAATGGGCTCTGCATTGGGGCACTTTCCACACCTGAGTTTACTGCATTCATTAGCTGTGGAACCCTTTCCAGGTCAAGAGCCTTTACACAGCCCCAGGTGTGACCCTATTGCTGAAGACACACTTTGTGTGTAAAGTAGGTCAGGCTAGGGCACCAGGAACTCTTTTTTTTTTTTTTTTTTTTTTTTTTTTTTAATTTACTTCTCTGAGTACCTTTCAGAATTCATGCCCCTGATAGTTTCATTACAGTAAGGTTTAAGGCTGAGGGACTGGACGCTGATTACATCAGATGCTTGAAGCGCTGTCCAGTGGGATTGTCTGTCCTGCAAGTTTGACCAGGACCAGTCAGAGGTCATGAATGGCAGACTACAACAGGCAGGGAATTCCCACATTTTCCCCAATCAGGTGTGTGTGGGGCATTGGGAGAACCCCTGTAAGGAGTGTCTTTCCTTTTCGCATTGGTCCTTAGAGCCCCCCTATCCATTGTTAGGGGTCTGTAGCGGGACACCTACATTGTGTCTATGGATCAGGTGGTCTCTGGCTTGACCCATCAGTCTCTTCAGGTAAGTGGCATGGTCCATCCCCGGGAGACTCCACTTGCTGGTGTGTATGTTCATGTCTGGGACTGTAGTCTAGCTTCACAGAACAGATTGTGCCCTCTTTGTCAGGGGACCCTGCAGGACAAGTTACCTGGTCTGTATGCTGGTTGAAGTCAAGAATACTAACCTTGGCAGCACTGTCTTCCCTAAGGACAATGCATGAAAATCTAGCTCTCCTCACCTGGTAGACTCTGTGCTACAGGGAGAGGTCTGTGCACCAGGGTGGTCTTCATCTTCTGTGGGGTAGGCAGAAACCATCACTGGAGTGTTTTGTACCCCCCTGTACTTTAAGCAGGTAGAATACTCACTGTACCCTGTGTTGGAGATAAAGTGCATATGGAGGACATTATCAGGCCTGATTGCCTGGACTTAGGACTTCCTTGTGTGGACAGCCTTGTGGGGAAGGTTCTGCAGATAGCTTCTCTTATTCTAACCTTAATCAGGCAAATGTGCTTTGCAGTGTGGCTGAGTTTCCTGTTCCTCACTCCATGACTGCCGATATTTTGTTGGATCAGGGAGGGTCTGATCATTCCTTGTACTATGTTCTGTGCTCCAGGTAAGCAGGTCCTGCAGAGTTGCTGTGGCAGATCCCAGATACACCTCCAGGGGCTAAGCATCCTTTTTTCTGGCGTCCTTCACCAGTCTGCTGTGATATACTGTCTTCACTTTTGGCACCTTTCCTTTCAGTCTGCGTGATTTGTAGGATTGTAGCTTTTGAGTTCTCTTCCTGCCTCGAGTCACTTCAGTCCTTAAGTGTTCTAATGTGATGATTTTCTCATTCTTTGGATATCTTATTAGTAAAATTGGTTGTCCAGCCACCTTTTCTTTTTCTAGAAATGTTTCTTCTCTAGGTTGCCATGGGTTGGTTGTGTAAGGCTTGGGGTTTTCCTGTGTGGACGGACTGGTCTTTTTTTTTTTTTTTTATCTGGACATTGGGGTTATCCGAGGGTCCCTTGAGGCCTTGTTATTCTGGGGTTTGTCTCACTGTTTCTTCTGTTGGCCACATCATCTTGTGGGTCTTTTCTACCTTGATAAGGTTATTCTATTGTTACACTTATTTTGGTGAGTCTTTGGTTCACACCCTCTTGTTTGTTCAGGCACAGTTTTCATTTGGGTAGAGTCATTCCCCACTGGTGGTGCTCTCCTCTGAATTCCTGTTTCCATAAAGGAACAATAAAGAAAATTATTTTTGTTCTTGCTTTAAAATCTTTTTCTTGTGGTCCATTGAAGGACACAGGTACCTTCCCTCTCTGTTTTTGCTCCGACCCATGGTACTGCTTTTTCATAAAACCAAATCATGCTGGGTAGAGAAGGAATTATACAGAGGCTGGCCTTTTTATTTTTCTGTTTGTCAGTATCCAAACCTCTTGATTGCAGCAGCAGGGTAACCTGGCTGTATCCAAATTCCTGGCTCCCTCAGTAGACTACAAGTAAAACATTTTACGGTAAGTACAAGAATCTTATTTTATTTTTCTTCAGGAGCTGTATTTATTAAGACTGCCTGCACCATGATGTCTGAGATGGTGGATTCCCTGCAGACAGTTTTGTTGTTTGGACACAAGAGGAACAACAATATTGCAGCATTTCTCACTCCAGTGTTACGGAATATAATTGTAAGCCTGGCTAGATTGCCTGCAGTCAACAGCTACACCAGAGTCCCTCCATTGGTGAGTCACCCTTTTTATTAAGAAACTTTACTTTTTATTCTTCTTGTTTTTCTGCTTTCAAATATATTTGAACGTGGTCATCTTAATGCTATGTAGTTTTTCACTGTATCTAAACACAAGAACAAAAATGTAATATATTACAGCAGACTAGTCCTTAAATGTGGTGTCTGAATTATTTTTTTCTTAATGTTTTTTTCATTTTATTTTTCATTTGCTATCAAGCCTGTAACTCCCATTTTCTAGGGTGAGAATGCCCACCTACTGTACTTTATCTGTGGAGGAGGAGCATTGATTGTCACTCTAGGACAGAACTACAAAACATATCCTCTCATCTCTCGTTCAGAAAAAAAACAGGGCAGAAATGATAAGGCTTCTTGAGATAGCATTATAGAATGCACAGGATACAGAGCAGCACTACAACTCTTGCAGAATCAACAGATGTTTTTTTCTTGTCTATTAAGGGAATAAGATTTGTTAAAACTTCAGGTTCTACTGCTGACCACAGAAGGATTCAACCAACCCAGGGTATAACTCTCCCTACTACCAACATGCCTCAGGTTTTGCTAGAGTGGATGTGTTTTCTTCAGTTCTACTGTTGTAAAGACTAACCTGTGATTTTCTACTGAATATTTTTTATTATGCCTTGTTCCAAGCCTGATTTTTTCAACGGATCATTTTCTGAGGTTTGCTGTAGGGACTTTGCACTACCACTTTATGACTCTGATATTGAACATCTTTGGCACGTCAGGTGCTCACCAAGGCTCCGACTCCAGTGTTGGCCCTGTTGTGCTCTGGTGACATCCCCATTGAGCAATACTGATACAAGCTCCTGTTGAGGGGATAGGTGGCGAGGACTCAGTTTGACAGTGTATCCCTGGCCAGACATTATAGAAGTTCAGATGGATCTTGTACCTTTAGAAATAGTCACTGGAACCTGGTTCACCAATTCAAGTAATTGCACCTGGTCCTGAACACAGATCAAATCAGTGTTCTTTACCTAGAAGATGGTTCAGACTCTCCGGCCTCAGGTTGAAACTCTTCAGCCTGTCTGGAGGCATGAGTTCCTTCTTGCTTTGGATATTACTTTTGGATGTCCTGAAGGTTAAAGGATAAGTTCACCTTTTCTAACATGTTACATATTACATCTATATTCAGGGTGTAACGTGACCTGTTAGCACTGTAGCTGCCTCTGCACCCCCTGAGTCCCCGCTGTGACAGCAGACTGGGAACTGCTCCGCTGTGACAGCAGACTGGGAACTGCTCCCCCATGTCTGCTGTCACACGTTTAAAATAAAGTGGCTGTGTGGGGCTCCACCCACTCGGCCGCATTATTCATTCATTGAACTCTGTGAATGAAAAACTACATGTCCTGACAGCCTTTACAGCTTTCGGCTTGTAGTTTTCAATGAACTACCACAGCGTTATGGTAGTTCATTCTCTTTTCCTGTATGTGGAATATAGGTATGAACACAAAGATATACAGACAGGTCTGCAGGAGTCCTAGCTAGCCTAGTAAAAAAAAAAAAATAAAATAAATGCATATTTTTTACCTGCAAAAAGATGTGTATTTATTATATTTTTTACAGAGGTGAACTTATCCTGTAAGACTTCTTGTGTCCTTCAATAAATGAGAAAACATGGTTTTTTTTTGTTTTTTTTTTGTTGTTGTGGGTGACCGTGACATAACCCAACAGTTTAGGACTTCCTCAGTGGACTCCAACAAAAGTATTTTATAGTGAGTAAAAATTCCTTTTTTTTAACTATATAAAAGAAATGCATTCAATGTTATATTTAAGCAAAAGGGAGCAAATTAAAAAAAAACTTTGTTAAGATTTACATGGTGCATCTATATTTACTTTATATAGGCTTTTTTATTGTTCCATTCTTTACATGTAGGCCTATAGATTCCCACTCTATATCTGCAACCTTGAAACTCATTTTTGTTCAAGTATCACCGTATTGTCCTTCTTTAAAACAAGCACGCCACGCCGTCTTTTTCCAGAGCAGCCTGGTTTGTTTTTCTTTGTATCCCGAGCAATTCTTCTGGCAGTAGTGACTGCAATTTTTTTGGTCTACCACAGCTTGGTTTGGTATTGAGAGATTCCCCAATTTTCCACTACTTAATAACTGATTGAACAGTACTTATTGGCATATTCAAGGCTTTGGATATATTTTTATATTCTTTTTTCATCTTTATTATTATTATACATGATTTATATAGCACCAACAGTTTGCTCAGCGCTTTACAAGTCTGAAGGTGAAGTCTACAAGATTTGGACAGTGATTGGATTTGGGGGTGAAAGGACAGATGGGAGTCTAGGATTACACCTAGTACCCTGGCATGAGGGGAGGGACCGATGGTTGTATTATTGATTTTGATGGAGAAGTCAGGGGAGGGGGCACGGGCTCGAGGGAATAGTATGAGCTCAATTTTCGAAAGATTGAATTTGAGGAAGTGGAGTGACATCCATGCTGATATGTCACTTAGTAGGTTAATAATGCGAGAGGAGACTGAATGAGTGAGGTGGGTAGTAAAAAGATAGATTTTTGTGTCATCAGCATAGAGATGGTATTTAAAGCCATGGGAGTTTATCAAGTGACCAAGGGAGGAGGTGTAGATGGAGAAGAGAAGGGGTCCAAGGACAAAACCTTGAGGGACCCCTACAGAAAGAAGAAGTGGAGAGGAGGAGACAGTTATAGGTAACGCTGAAGGAGCGCTGCAACAGGTAGGAGGAGAACCAGGAGAGAGCGGAGTCTCGGAGGCCAAGAGTGGAGTTTTTTGAGGAGGAGGGGATGGTCAACAGTATTAAAAGCCGTAGAGAGGTCAAGTAGTAAGAGTATAGAGTAGTGGCCATTGGTTTTAGCACTTAGTAAATCATTAGTGAGTTTTAGTAGGACAGTTTCAGTGCAGTGGAGTGAACGAAACCAGACTGGAAAGGGTCAAGAAAGTTGTTGTCAATAAGGTAGGAGCTCAGGCGATTGTAGACTAAGCGTTCTCGGAGTTTAGAGGTAAATGGCAGCAGGGAGATGGGTCTTAAGTTGTTCATGTTGGTGGGATCCAGGGAGGGCTTTTTAAGTATGGGAGTGATGTGTACATGCTTTAGAGGGGAGGGGAAGGCACAATTGGAGAGGGAGAGATTGAAGATGTGAGTGAGGGAGCATAGGACAGAAGAAGAGGGTGACCGTAGTAGTTGTGAGGGGACAGGATCCAAGGGGCAGGTGGTGAGACGGGCTTCTGAGAAAACTTTAGTCACCTCTTCAGTAGCAGCAAGGTCAAAAGAAGAAAGTGTTGAGGGAGGTTTAGTATAAGGTATGCTAAGTGGGATAGATGTCTGTGCAGTAGAAATGCCCCTACGAATTGCATCAATCTTGCTTTTGAAATGATTTGCAATCTCATAAGCAGTGAGTAAGGAACTGGGTGGAGGTGGAGAAAGTGGAGCGTTAAAAGTAGAGAAGAGACAACGAGGACTGGATGACAAGGTATTAAGAGTGAAAAAGTAGGCTTGTTTGGCAGCATGGAGGGAGGAATTGTATGTTAAGATAGCATATTTATATAGGGTGAATGCTTGGTGAGATTTGGTTTTATGCCACAATCGCTCCAGTGCACAGCTATGTCTCTTAAGATTTCTGGTTTCAGTCTGCCACGGTTGTATTGGTTGGGACCTGATACTTCGTGTAGTTAGAGGAGCAAGTGAGTCTAGTGTGGATGAAAGCGAACTGTTGTAGACAGCAGTGGCCAGGTCAGGACAGGAGAGAGATTCTGTCATAGAGTTGGTCAGTTGCAGAGTGGAAAAGAGAAGGGTTCAAGTTGTGAAGGTCTCTGCTGGTAATTGTTTGCTGCTTGGAGGGATAAGTGTTTGAAGACGAGGACACTGAAGGTGATGAGATTGTGATCAGAAATAGGAAAGGGGGTATTTTTGAGGTTGTAGGGAGTGCAAAGATGGGAGAAAACAAGGTCTAATGTATTACCATCAGAGTGAGTGGTGGACTGTGTCCATTGTGTTAAGGCAAAAGATGAGGTTAGGTTGAAGAGTTGGGATGTAGCCGGGTTGTTAACATTAATGGGGATGTTAAAATCTCCAAGAATGATAGTGGGTATTTCAGAGAGAGAAAGTAGGGTAGCCAGGCAGAGAAATCATCAAGAAAGCTGGACACCATTCCAGGAGGCCAGTAGATCACTGCAATCCTCAGAGAAATAGGAGAAAACAGCTGAATGCAGTGAGTCTCGAAAGAAGAGGATAGAGAGGGAGGGTTATGGAGGACTTGAAAGGTGCTCAGTGAGGATGGACGCAAACCAACTCCACCACCTTTCTGACCACTGGGTCTGGGTGAGTGAGTCCAGAGAAGGCCTCCATAGGAAAGTGTAGAAGCAGAATCTGCTGCTTGAAGCCAGGTTTCTGTAATTGCTAGTAGATTAAAGGAGTGGGAGACAAAAAGGTCATGGACAGAGGTGAGCTTATTACAGACAGAGCAGGCATTCCAGAGTGCACATGTAAAAGGGAGGGTGGCTTTTAGGAGCGTGGGGATTGAGTTTAAATTGAGTGGATTGCGGTTATTACTGGAGGAAGGAGGGTGCCTGGTGTGGGGGTGAGATACTGGAGGACCAGGGTTTGAGGAGATATCCCGAGAGGTTAGGAGAAGGAGGGTGAGGAAAGTAAGATGGGAGCGGGATGTATATGAGTGCACATGCCTTCCTGTCCTGGTGTTTGGGTCAGCAGGTGAGTAAGGTATAAGCAGGTGGTGATGAGAGCAGTAGTAGGGAGATGGTAGAAGTGAGGGTGATGTGTATAAGCTTTGGGGTGGAGTAGAGGGGTACAGAAATGAGATTTTGAGAACAGAGGATAGTAATAAAAGGTACATGGAGTGGGAATCGGACTTGTAGGAGATGTTTCCCAGGATGTTTGCTTGCAGTCCATCCAGTGTGCAGTAGAGTTCTTTGTTGTATCTTCTTGCTGCTTGTGTTATCTTGCTTTAGTTAAACTGCTGTGTTCAACTGCGTCTTCACACTCCAGAAGAAAATGCCCTGCTGTGTTCGACTGCTGCTTCGCACTCCAGCAGAAAATACGCTCGTGCAGGAAAAATGCCCTCTGTCTGTGACATCCCCCATAAACTGATCTAAATTTATAGGGAGATGATCAAATGAGCAACTCTTCTCTGCCCCAATTAGGAACTGATAAGGAATTTGGGGGAGGTTGGTCAAAACCAGACCAGCCACCCAGACACAGGTCAAAGTCATAAAAGATGATTGATTCTCTGATCAAAGAAAGGCAAAAGGAGGTGAGAATCAATCACAACAAACAGACAAAACGATATAGACTAATTAGCCTGCGTTTTGCAGAAAGTCAGTGCATTGCAGGGAGACAGTTTAAGGTGGAGATGAGACTGTAGCATTTACCTGTGAAAAAGCAGAGAGGACATGATCAGGGGGCTGTGTTCAACTGCTGCTTCGCACTCCAGCAAAAAATGCACTAAAGCAAGAAAAATGCCCCCCTCCCCCTGTCTGCGACTATGCCCCCCTCGTTATAAAGTTCCATTACCTTGTTACGCAGGTCTTTTGACAGTTTTTCTGCTCCCCATGGCTCTGCATTTAGCCTGGTCAGTGCATCCATGTGGGAGCTAACAAACTTATTGACTTTTTACGCACACTAATTGAAATTTAAAAAGCCACAGCTGTGGGAAATTAACCTTTTAATTGCAATTTTAACGTGTGTGTCACCTTGTGTGTCTGTGCCAAGGCCAAACATTCCAGGGTATATAAACTTTTGATCATGGCTATTTTGGTGATTTCAGTTATCATTATGATTTAAAAGGAACCAAATATCAGTTCCAAAATTTCACGATTTCTGCCAGGGTACAGGGCCTTGGATAAGGGGAAGCGAGGGATGTGGTAAGGGAGGTAGATCGACACAGTGTGGGGTTGATTATGGAATGGAACAGATCCCCTGTATGGCTCTCCCTGCAGCAGCTGAAAGCTCGCTGCTGCTGCTCTCTCTCCCTCTGGCTTTCATCTGTTGCAGCTAGAGCCATACAGGGGATCTGTTGTTCCAGTAATTAACCACTGGACCACTGCAAGCACCCCTGTTAGTGATAAATGGTTTGTCCCAATCCTGTAACTGCTACTGTGTCTGGACAGCTTTGTCCGTTTAAGTTGAAAAATAGCAGACATAATGGCAGGATCACCAGGTGAAACTAAAGAGAAAAAAGCCTAAACAAAGAAAATGAATGCAGCCACCACATCAAAGAATTTATTAAGCAATTCATTACATTTTTTGTTTTCTGTTTTAATACTTCTATAATCATTGATGCTAATGATCCATGATACAGTTATTCAAATCATCATACAAATCTGTACATGAATTACAACAGTCGGAATGTTAAAAATCATGTAAAATTGTGAATGCAAAAATTATTTTAGGAGAATATATACATATATATTTATACATCAGATAATCTGACATTCACAGAACATTCACTTCAGGTGAATCTTGCTAGTGCATGCGTTTTAAATGGCAGTGATGGACTCTGCACCAGTGATTGTTTGTGAAAGTCACATTTACTACTTTTTAGTAATATACACCTGTATGTTGCGTAAAACTCCTGATTACGGTAAAGGAGAATATAATAATAGTTTCTTTATCACTTACATTTTTATGTAGCACTGGTCATTACCAATATTCTTTGTGTCTGCTTTGTTCAGGTGTGGAAATTGGGGTGGTCTCCCAAAATGGGAGGGGAATTCGGAACTTCTCTTCCTGAGATCCCTGTTGAGTTTCTGCAGGAGAAGGAAGTATTCAAAGAATTTATCTACCGCATCAATACTTTGGGTAGGTTGCATGATTCACAATCACATGGTGGGATGCAAAGTGTATAGAAGGAAAACATGGAGGAAAATTTTTCATTAGAAGACCAGCTCAAGCCATTCTGTCAAGTTGGATCACATCCTTAGACAGATCGGTGGACACGGAAGATACGAGGGTACAGGAGATCTTTAAAAGCAGCCTTGTCAGCAAATATAAATAGGCCCTAAAACATGTACCTGTTAAAGATTGACCTCTTTCAGTGCCCCGTGCCTCCAGTTGCAGTTCTGCACATTTGAAGTCTCCAGTTAAAGCTTTGTGGGAAGCCAGTATATCCAGGAATGTCAGCGTAATGCAGGCTCAAAAAAAAAAAAAAAAAAAAAAAAAAAAAACGATTTCTCCATCCCATCTACATTGCGAGTGTATCTGATTGACTGCACTCACTGATGGGCCGACATTTTTTTTTTCTCAAGCTCCTTTGCTTTGTCAAGCTAGGTCTTGCCAGCAGAGCCACCTACGGACCAAATTTCAACAGAAAACGGACAAAAATCTATCAGTATATGGTCAGTTTAAGTTCTGTAGTACACAGGACCCAAGAGATTGTAAAGTAAGTATGCAGGCTCTTCTTTAAGGGGTCATTCACATCATACGTGCATGAACACTGATGGAAACTGACACACAGATTTCACTTGCAGAGACATCAGTTTACGTCAGTTTTCATGCACCCTTCAATGAGTTTTATACACAATGCAGATTCCTGCATAGAAACAATCTGCACATGATACTAATGTTGTGGTGTGAACAGGCCACATAAAGAGCAATTGATTTTGTTGTGCCCTTGCAGAACGCATGCAAAAATACTGACGGCTCTGCACCATGGTATGAACAAGCCCTAATACAAACTGCTTTTGGGGCATTCTTTAATTTGTTGACAGTTCCGTTTTCAAGTTAAACTAAACTCACTAATTTACTGGTTTCCCAAAAGAATGCTCAACTTACAAATGTTCAGTAAATGGTTTTAAATGACACTTACCACTTATGTTTTCTGCTGTGTTTTTACTTGCATTCTGCTTACTAGCACATGCTCCCTGTATACTACATTCAAGGCGTGTCTGAGGTGATAGCTGTCAGTTGCCAGTGATCTGATGGCGCCTTTCAATGGAACTTTCAAACCCTCAAAAGGTGTCATAGACGCTTACATGTGCAGCACCATAGCAGCTGCAGACCTAAATAGAGGCTAAGATGGCACTGTCCTTCATGAATAAGAGGATAGGGAGGGCATTAGTATCAAAGTTCAATTCCAAGAAGTCCTTTAAATGTTAAAAATGCCTATTCGTGAACCTTTTAACCTAACAAAGTATTTATAATTCTGTTTAGGCAGCCCTGTGATTCATGCACTTCTGCTGCACTTCCGAACAAGTGACCCCTCTATTTCACCCTTCAGTTTTGCAATGACCTGTATCACTTACTTACTGAAAATAAATCCACATAATGCTTTCTTTGCTGTGCAAGCATGCGTTAGACACCCTGAGGAAGAGGGAGCTGAAAAACTGAACTCGTGTCATATCTATTTAAACTGTGTATTAGCACACTTGTTAGCAGATTGCCTGAGTGTCCCATGAGCAGGAAACAAGCCTTGTGGTGAAAAACATTTGCAAACTTAAAGTGATTGTAAAGGTAAAAATATCTTTACTTTTTTAAATAATAAACTTGTTATAGTTACCTACTCTATTCAATGGTTTTGCACAGAGCAGCCCTAATGCTCTTCTCTGGTTCCCTGCCAGTGCTCCTGGCTCCTTCCCCCTGCCCAGTGCTCCCATAGTAAGATGCTTGCTCTGGGGGCATACATGCAGGCTCGCTCCCGAGCCATGCTCTGTCCGTTGATACACACAGTGCAGCATGGCCCCACCCCTGCTCCCTCCTCCTTGGCTGTGATTGACCACAACAGGAGCCAGTGACTTCCACTGCTGCCTCTGAGCCAGTGAGGAGAGAGAGCAACGATGCTGCTCTCGGGCACAATGCTGGATCAACACTGGGCTCAGGTAAACATAAGGGGAGCTAGGGGGAGGGAGCAATGCACAGAAGGTATTTTACCTTCATGCATAGGTGGCTTGAAGGTAAAAACCCTACTGCCTTTAGAACCATTATATGCTGGTTATAGGCTGAAAAAAAAAAAAAAAGATTCCTCTAAGCAAAAATGTGAGATGGATGGAGTAATCCTCCTTGCTGAGACAATGTATTCTGACAGCAACTATCAGAATACACTGATCAGCGGTTTGACTTCTGTTGAGCAGGGAGGGCCACACAGATCGAAATTCGGTCAGTTCCTGCTAAACCGGACAAATTTTGATATGTCTGTGCCTAGCTTAATTTATTTCATTGCTGGTCTTTACATCATTACTGAACGAGTAAATCTGCCCCTGAAGTACTTTTCCTTATTGTTTTCTGTAACTGTATATTTCCTTCTGTTCATCACTAATCGGACCCTTCTGCCTTTTAGGATGGACAAGTCGCACCCAGTTTGAGGAGACTTGGGCCACACTGCTTGGAGTTCTGGTCACTCAGCCTATTGTAATGGACCAAGAAGACCAGCAAGAGGTAAAACTGTGCGGCTGTGTTCATACCCTGTGTAGCTCAGACCCCTTTTTAGGCTGGCCACGTGCTGGGAATCAAACTGATTCAGTAATTGACTATGGCACTTTGGAACTCTAGAGGTTAATTTTTCAAGCAATAATGCACACTTTTGAGCAACTGTTCAATAGGGATTTTCTTTTCTTAGCCCTTGTTAAATAAACCCTATTGATTAACCAGCACTCATGGTTCTGTCAGATACTGGTTCTCCTAGACATGTAGATACCTCGAATGCTTTTGACTGTGGGCTGTGTTGATAATGTGATGATAATGAAGTGAGACTAGTAAAGAAGTCTTTTTAAAATGAATCCTTCATCTAAATATGTGACACATGTATTCTTCCATCAGGAGGACACAGAGCGAACACAAATAAATGTCCTGGCTGTACAAGCCATCACTTCCCTGGTCCTCAGTGCTATGACTATTCCCTCTGCTGGAAACCCAGCCATCAGCTGCCTGGAGCAGCAGCCACGGAATAAGACCCTGAAAGCCCTGGATACCAGGTACATGCCTGTCTGTTTCTTCTGTCTATAACGTGACCGGTACTCAATGTTGTAATTTTATCTTTGTATGAGATAGTGATGGTTTAATTAGAGGTTGTCCTGTGTATGTTTCTGCAAACCGTGAAAAATGTTACTAGTTCTGTCATTGAACAGTTGATATGACGTGTTCGCTTTGAATACACATGGCATAGCAACATCCATACAATTCACTCATAAGATTGCCTGCATGATTTATTGTTTTAAATCATATCTCTCAGTGAATGTAGAGCTATTTTGAAGTTCTATTTGAAATCTTTTCAAATGTAATTTTTTTTTTCTGGTAAATTGCCAACCTGCAAGCATTTTGAATCAGGTTGCTGTGCTCAGACAAGGGAAGATCTGCAGGTTTAAGGTCAACTATGCTTACAGGGTTGGGTATCTCTTTAACTATAAGTTCACACTGTAGTGAATGGTTACGGGTGCAGAAATTGCATCTGTGCCTGCGACCACATGCAGCCAAAACATGCTGCCTTGCAGAAACACGCAGGGCTTCCATTCATTCTTAATGGAGCTCCCACTCATCTAAACCCGCAGCGTGTCTGCAAGTGCGGGAACTGCATGGAGATCGCATGGTGTGAAAACGCACCAATCGATTTCCCTGTGGCTGTGTTTTGAAAATGGTGCAAAAAATTTGGGGGGGGGGGGGGCTTTTTTTGTTTTTTTTTTTTTTGTTCAAAGCACAGGCACTGCAGTCCATTAATTTCAAACCTTGCTACAGTGTGAGCCTAGCCTTACTCCTCACATATACTGCATCCTCAAGTCTCATAAATGCGGTAAGTCTCACACTCCTGGTTGTGAAAGTGTGAACATTGCACAATGGTCAGTCTGCATTCCAACATTGTTTCCTCAAAATCCATACCATCAGCACACAACTGGGGTCCTGAGGTAAGACATTTTTTTTTCCTTGCCTAATGATAGAATCAGCCTTGTTGACAGGGTAGAGATTCAGATGAGTTATTTATTCTGGTGAGAGGCTGTTTGTAATAAATGTCTTTGCTTACCACAGCACATACATTATTATGTTGATCTGTCTAGGTTTGGCAGGAAACTGAGTGTTGTTCGAGGGATAGTAGAGGAAGAAATCCAGGCGTTGGTATCTAGAAGGGACAACATTGCCACGCATCATGCTTGTCAAGCCTGGGATCCCGTGCCTTGCTTATCTGCTGCAACCACAGGTACCTCCTTTATACATTCCACACGGATCTCACCTGGGCACATTTTTATCTTCCTATAATAATCTAAAACATGTCAGTCCACAGAATAATTATATAATGAGGAATTCCAGGAATAAGAAAGCCATACTAAAGTTCTGCATTGGGAGGCAATACCATTAAACATCCATATACTCCATTTTTTTCAGTCTTTCATCTTCTAGGGACATGAAAAATAAAAACACAGTTTTCCCCCAATAAATCTGGATTTAAAAAAAGCCTGATGTTCTTAAAGGACAACTAACACATTTATTGCTAAGGCCATTTATATGTGCATCTATCAAAGCCTACAAAAGTGATGGTGGGGATTGAAGGTAGTTGGTGTACTATGTAATAATCCAATAAATATTGCGGTCGTATGACTCGCTTCATCAGAGCTGTGTTATGTTATTGGGTCATTCCATTGCTGCTAGCTAGGAGGAAGCATCTAATAAAATAGTTAGAGCTCTCTGCAGGGGAAGCGTGTGAGGTGTTAATGAAGCCTTCGCTAGTACACGCTGCTTGCAGGCTGGATCACTACCCTGACTGCTGTGGGGCTTGGGCTGACATGCTACACATTGGCCCACAGACATGCATTCTCATTTTCATTGCAGAAAAAAGGGGTATGCTGCCAAATGGTTACTAAGACGGCAGCCACTAAAAGGGTGAATTCACATACTTTCCTTCCTGCTGACATTACTATTGTAGGCTTTGGCACATGCTTGTTGAAATAACGGAGTATCTACGGAAGCAAGTAATTTTTCAAAACTTCAGTGCAGATTAAAAAAAAGCATGACATATAGTTAAATGTTAATTGTGTGATAATTGATCTCTGAGATTTCTCCAAGCGAACCTCTGTAAAGGAAAGGCTGCTTGATTTCATAGTATTTTTATCTTGATGCCTTTTACGTGCACTGCCCTGTACATGAAACACCACTGTTTTCACTGAAGAAGCTTCTTTGGTTGGCATCCTGCTGTAGTGACCTTTTACACTGTGGAGGAGATGGAAGAGGAGTTGTAGCCTATTACATGCTCTCCTCTGACTCATCTCTGCTCATAGTGGCACAATCTTTTTAGATATTATCTAGAAACTCTGTCTAGCCTGACTTCTTTCTTTCATTATATGTGATTATTCTCTGAAAGGAAAAAGGTTTTCTATTTGATGTGTCATGGTAATGGTAGGTTCATAAATCTATTTTATTTCAAATCTATGTCATCTCTGTAACTGTTTCAGGAGCACTGATTAGCCATGAGAAGCTGCTACTGCAGATCAACACAGAGCGAGAAATCGGAAACATGAGCTATAAGTTGGGTCAGGTGGGTAAAGCAACCTTTGGATTCCAGATAGCATTCTATGGGCAGGTGCCATCCAGCTGGCAGCCCGCTGTCAACACGGCTGCATACTCCATAAACTCGCAGTCTGTTCTCTGCCACTGTTAGGCATGTATTTGTCATCAGGATCAGCAGGCTGGTGCTGACTGATCAGGAGGACAGTAGCGGTCCTGGCAGGTTTCTTATTGATCTTTTCCCCTGCCAGCATCCAGCCAGCAGGACCTGGGACTCACCTATAGACATGGCATCATGCTTAGCAAGTGTCATCCCATGTCTTCAGGTCATTTAGTTTGAAGTGTTTTTGTTCCACAAGAAAATATGTATACCACTCAAGGTGGGCTTAACACTGACTTCACAGTAAAAATCCCAGGTGGTGACCCCTGTAGTTGCTCTGTGGCTGATCAATCAGAAGAGAGAATGAAAAGGTCATTATCAAACCAGGGTCACCTCTGATATTTTTAGTGCCATTAAAGTGGTTGTAAATTTCAAACATGAAATAAGAACAAAGCATATCTCTCTATAGCAGCCTTTCTCAACCGGGGTGCCATCAGGCTTCTTCAGGGGTGCTTTCAGGCTTCTAAAGGGTTGCCTTGGCAAAATGCCCAAAAATTATATACAAGCCAACAAGTGCCTTTTAGTACACAAAGCCACATGTTTTTATTGTCCACTTTTATGACCTTCTAGGTGCCAGCATGCTAACAACCAATGACATCATCAGTTGATAAGGAGGATGTCGAGTGCATGCACATCATCCTTGTTTGGCCCTCCCCTGCCCCTCTCCATCAGCACTGGGGTCACATTAACAGAGTGAGGGAGAGAAAATGAGAAAGACACTAGAATACTAGTCGGTACCAGTGTGCATATGTGTATTTGCTTTAGAAGAATAAATCACCTCTGACGTTGGATGTATTGGATGTGTGTAGCATAGTTTTTTTTTATTTTATTTTATTTACATTTTAGATTGGGGTGCCTTGAGATTATGCAGAATTTTAAAGGGTGTCTTGGCTGAAAAAAGGTTAAGAAACACTGCTCTATAGTGTGTACTTGTCTCAAATAGGAACACTAATTGCCATTTCAGTCTGTTGCTTAGAACCTCTGGTATCAGCATGAATCACTTCTGTCAAGTTTTCTTGACACCAAGAGAAAAAATGGTGACGGGGAGGGACCTCCAGCAGATTGACAGCCTCAGCTCTGTTCCTGTGAGCCATCTGGAGGGGGGGGTGTCCATTCCTTCCAATCAGCTCTCATAGCTCTCCTCACTGAGCTCCGCAGTGTAGCTTAAACTCTCTGCCCTCAATTTCTTCTTTTTTTTTTTTTTTTTGACAGCTCTACAAACTTTATAAATTTCAATTGTTGTAGAGAACAGAGGAGTGCAGATTGACACAACTTACAACTAGGTACAATTTATGTAGGAGGATTGGTTTAATTACCTGATGCCAGTCACTTCCTTGGTATATGTAAGTATTTACAACCACTTTAAATGTTCTTCCAAAGAGTATGAAGACTTATGGGAATTGAAACTTAAACTGTAACCGGTATGGTTGCTGCATCATAGTGTCTATGCACAGAGAATGTCTGTAATGAAGACCTCTTGTGTTATGGTCATTAGTCTCTGGGAGCATACTGCCCTAAATTTTTATACCATTCCGTGCACCATTTAGCTCCATCCAGCCACAGTAACTTTCAGCTTCTCATAGAGTTATACAGACTGCCAACCGGGGGACTGGATGGTGCACCTGTACCTTCTGTCCGCATCAAAGCACCAGGATCTCATGCACAAGGGCTAGACACTCATTGCACATGAAGTCCAAGTCTCCACACGCCACAAAAAATAAAAGTACTCTGCCTCACAGAACATGTCAGAGATTTCCCCTGCTGCTGTTTAATTAACAAGAAAAGTTGCTGCAGCTTTAAATATATGATGATTCTCCTGTGAGTGAAGGTTAGCAAAACATCTTGAATAAAAACTGTTTATCCAACTGTTTAAATCTTATTGAAAGTCTAAAGTTGGCAGTAAGAAAGACAGGAGTTTATTGGATATAAAAAAAATGTGGACAGTAACAAAATACAAGTCGAGATTCTGGTTAACGCTTTGTTGGCTGACTCTGTACAGTTGATTCAAGAGCGTGATGCAACTTTTATTACTTAAGCACTGCCAGCTGAATTCTTATCTTGGCAGAAGTTTCTGAACCTTGAGGATTGGGCAGACTGGACCCTAATTTTACCTTAATTTGTCCACTCCTGTGTTACATATTTGTATACTGTATTTACACCTTAATGCTATACAGCAAATTATGAAAATTGCTTTTCCTTGTATTAGGTCTCCATCCACTCAGTTTGGCTTGGGAACAATATTACACCACTGAGACCAGAGGAGCTAGATGAAGATGAGGAGGATGAGAATGATACTCCAGCACCATCATCACCCCCTATATCTCCAATTAACTCCAGGTCTGTTCTTGACACTTGCCTGTATAACTGATTGCACTTTAACACCTTCCCGCCCAAACTATAGCAGATTGATGACCAGGCGGGACATTCCTCCTTGTGACTTGGCGTCATATGACATCCTGTCAAAATTAGCTGCTCATGTGGCCGCAGGGCTGCACAGTGGTGCGAACTGTCACCGTCTGTGTCCACAGGACACAGCCAATGACATATCACAACACTAAGGTGCAAATAAAGGTGCAAATCAAAATGTCACCTATTGGTGACTATAGGTAATTGGACACTAAACCAAAACACAGTCTATGACGTGATCAAGAAAGATCCCAAAAAGATCTTCAAAAAATCCAATGGCTGGATCCGTGGATGAGGTGATAAATATGTAAAGATTGCGCACTCACCAGATACGCAATCACAATGCGCATTTAAAGCAGACATAAGGATCTCTCAGGACATTCACATCTGCAGATTTTCCTTACTATCAAGTGGCGAGGGGCATTTGACCAGATCTGACCAGACTCGTATAAGGATCCTTGATGTCCTGAGAGTATCTGCTTTAAATGCGCATTGTGATTGCGTATCTGGTGAGTGCACAATCTTTACATATTTATCACCTCATCCATGGATCCAGCCATTGGATTTTTGAAGATCTTTTTGGGATCTTTCTTGATCACGTCATAGACTGTGTTTTGGTTTAGTGTCCAATCACCTATAGTCACCAATAGGTGACATTTTGATTTGCACCTTTAATTTAATATTGTTTTACCATGCTGTTTTCCTTGCATGAACATGTTTATATGCTCTAAGCACAATAATTTAGCGCTTCCCCCCTTTTAAAAACTATTTTGGAGGTTTATATGGTACCTTTTTTGGTGTTCAGCTGCTATTATTTCATTTTATTCATTTTTATCATTTTATTTTAAGCGCTCACTTACCCTGCGATTTACAATATCACAACACTAGCCCATTGCCAGTGTCATGGGACCGCTGTGAGCAATCACAGCAGATCACATGACAATTGTATACAATGGATGGCCATCCATTGTATACAATTGTGTTGTTGGCTGTGAATGAGCTTTGCCCAATCACAGCTAATTACAACAAGACTGAATTAATCAGTTTCATTCAGTAACAATGATTGCAAATATCAATTAAATACATTGTTATCAGCAATCATAATGTGTGTAAAAAAAAAAAAAAAAATCCTGATCTGAATATAAATCTAAATGATCTTGAAGTTTACAAACTTACGGTACTTTGTGAAGATCCCCACACATCTACTTCCTTGAATTCTGTGACACATATTCACTATGCCCTGTGATGTTAGGCACTGCTGTGCCACATAATTCAGAGCCGGCCTTTTGAACTGCAGAGGTGCTGAGAAAAGGAGTTTCAGGAGGTGGTGTCAGTAGAGAAATCATTGCTAGCTGGCAGCAAGGTACCATGGGATATGTAGTCCTTAGAAGCTGACAATAAACAGCAGAGGAGACGCTGCAAAGCATGCAGAGAATCCAAGAAGCTGTGAAAAGAGACAACCAGCAGACAGGCAGAACTCATAGCATGAAAGTAGGTCTTTCAAGTAAGCTTATATTGGATTATCAAATATAACTATTGTTTGTATTATTATTACAGTGATGATGTTATGAAATGAAAGTGCATTCTGACCATAGAACTCCTTTAAGCGTTATGGTGTTCTCGTGTAAAGCTAGAAATGAGCGAATCTTGGCAAATGAGGTTGTACGAATGCTGATTATGGCTTTGCATGGCACATAGCAGTGGTCTCCAAATTGCAACCCGGGGACCAGATGCAGCCCTTTGCTTGCCTTTATCTGGTCCTTGAGGCATTATTCACTGACATCAACAGTAGGGCACAATTCCTCCCTCTGACACCAATGATGGGGCACTATTCCTCCCTCTAATACCACAGATGGGACCTTGTTCACTCCCACTGGGCACAGTCTGGCCCCCCAAACTCTGAACAACAGTAATCTGGCCCTTTGTTTAGAAAGTTTGCAGACCCCTGGCATAGAGGGACCTAGTAATGGGTCCATTGTAAACAGTGGAAGCGAGTGGAATTTCTGCTTTACTTACAAGAAGGGGCAGAGAACATGATTTTTTTTTTTTTTTTTTTTTTTTAATCTCTAAGGCCGGCATTATAAGACCCAGCATGGGCTTTCTGCTTTGCAAATAAATTCAGTTTCACTGTTCCTAACAATGAACGCGCTATAAATACTTTTATAACCTAACCCCCAAAATAACCTTTAACTTTTTAACCCCCAACACTCGACATAAAGGAAACCTATACTGAAGTATGTAGGATGCTATTGCTCACCTTCCATTCTGAAAATGGTAGTTCCCTGGAGGTTAGATGGTGATGTCACTCTGAATTTCCTGATCTGTATTCTTGTTTTAGGTCAGTGTTTCAGACCATATAAAATCCAGAACTGCTAGACCATTTATGTCGGGAGGTCAGCAACCCCTAAAGTGAGCCCATAACTTTTCCCCTGTCCCTGCACTAACATAACCTTAAGGTAGAAACCTGATTACTCTTAAAAATATCCTATCCCACCGAATAACACCTATTCTGACTAACCTGTCAAAGAAAGCATGGGCTGCAGGGGAGAGGAGAGAATGCTCAAAAATGGCTGGTAATGCCATGGAGCAGTGACATCACCCATAGGCTTCAATGGACCATCTGTTGTCAGCAATCCCTCCTCTCCTGCAGCCGCCATTGGCTGACAGAGGAAGCCGGATCACAGGATCACTTCAATCATAAAGTCCGACTACAGTCAAAGCTTGCATAAAATGGTGAATGGCTAGATTTTTCATCAGGTTCTGCAGTGGCAAAAGCAACTGCTTCAGCACAAAAGATTGTGATATGGGTTTTTTGCCCCTTGTGTTTGTAAGAGCTCCAATAAATATCTAATATATTTTTAATTACTTGCCCTCCAGAGGATTCCTGACCAGGCCACTTTTTTGTGATACGGCGCTGTGTTACTTTAACTGACAATTGTGCGGTCATGCAATGCTGCACCCAAATGAAATTTATGTCCTTTTTTTCCCCACAAATGGAGCTTTCTTTCAGTGGTATTTGATCGCCTCTGTGTTTTTTATCTTTTGTGCTATAAACAAAAAAAGACTGACAACTTTGAGAAAAAAAATATTTTTGACTTTTTGCTATTAAACGTCCAGTAAAAAAATTAAAAAAAAATCAAATTTCATCATAAATTTAGACCAAAATGTATTCTGCTCCATGTCTTTGCTAAAAGAAAAATCCCAAATACATGTAAATTAATTGGTTTACATGAAAGTTATAGCATCTACAAATGGCAGTATATATAGTGGAATTTTTCTTTTTATGATTTTTTTTTTTTACTAGTAATGGCAGCAATCAGCGACTTATTGTGGGATTACGGCGGGCATTCTGACCCTGACACTGACTAACTGCCGCTGCCATCCCCAGTGACACTAATACAGTGATCAGTGCTAATAAAAAGCACCAACACTGTACTAATGACACTGTGCAGGATGGGGTAACATCTTGGGCGATCAGAGGGTTAGCTGTGTACTGTTTTACTTTGTTCTGTGTGTGTTTTACTGTGTAAGCACATTGCTTTGTATAGCTCTGCAACGCAGAACAATACAAAGCAGTGTGCTGAAGCTGACGGGATAGATCTGTACTGTTTACATACAGACCTCTCCCCAATCAGTGATACTTGGTGATCACCGGGTTCTAGCAGGGAATTACCATCCGAGACTCTGTGATCGACAGCTGAAGCCTCCTTCATCATAATCCCTTGCACCCTCTGCTTGTAAATAAAGCTAGAGGCGCAGTAGGTTTTGTCACACTGCTGACCCTGAGGTCGGCAATAAGGAGCACGGAGCAACATGCAGGACTCTTGAAGAACCACTGAATGCTTGTCTCTGTAATTCTATTTTTATAGAGTCCAAAGAACCCTTTTTTCCAGTTTGCACAGGGGAACAGATTGTGTATCCTTTGTACAGCCCAATATGGTATTTGCTTTACTGATATACAGTAAGTCCCCGACTTACAAACATTCGAGTTTTCAAACTTTCACAGATACGAACGGACCTCGCATTTACGAACATTCATAGATGCAAAGCACGGAAGTAGCTCACGTGTCTGCTGGACATTGTTACAGCTGTGCTGCTGTGTGCTTGCTGTACAGTGTGATAGTGTACTGTACAGAGCCCAGGATGTTCGGAAGCAAGAGGAAAAGCAGTGGTGATGTAGAAGGGACTGCTAGGAAGCGCAAAGCAATAACCATGGAAACAAAAGTGAAAATAATTGAGAAATTGGACCGAGGCGAAAAGATGGTGTATATATATATGATTATAACATGAATCGCTCAACCATTGGCACAATTCTAAAGAACAAGGCCAAGATCATGGAACATGTGAAGTCTGCTGTGCCTATGGAGTCAACAATAATATCCAAAAAGCGTGGTAAAGTGATAGAGGAGATGGAGAAACTTCTCAGTGTGCGGATGCAGGATCAGCATCGAGTCCCACTCAGCTTAATGCTTATTCAAGAAAAAGGTAAAAGCTTGTCTGAAAACTTCAAAGAAAAAACGGGGTGAACAGTGTGCATCTTTTACTGCCAGCCATGGATGGTTTAACAGATTCAACGTTAGAGCCAACCTTCACTACGTAAAAGCAAGTGGTGAGGCTGCAAGTGCAGATATCATAGCTGCCCAAGATTTTCCAGCAACACTTAGAGAAATTATTGACGAAGGTGCTTGTTTTCCTCCACGGGTTTTTAGCATCGATGAGACAGGACTGTACTTAAAGAGGATGCCAGAATGAAGTTAAATCAGTAAAGAGGAAAAGGTGATGCCAGGATTCAAAGCAGCAAAGGACAGACTTACTCTGTTGTTTGGTGGCAATGCTTACGGTGAAATTAAACTAAAGCCTCTCTTAGTTTACCATTCAGAGGACCCAAGAGCCCTCAAAAACACCTGTTGTATGGAAGAGTAATTCCAAAGCCTGGGTTACACAGGCCATTTTCCAAGACTGGTTTTTCCACCACTTTATCCCAGAGATAGAGAATATTGTTTGGAGAAAAATATCCTATTCAACATTCTTTTGCTACATAACAATGCACCAGGTCACCCCCAATTCATGGATGACTTTCATCCAAACATCAAAGTAGTGAAGCTGCCACCGAATACTACAGCACTCATCCAACCTATGGACCAAAGAGTTATTGCGACTTTCAAGAAATATTATTTACTATAACATCTGCAAGGCCATAAAAAACATCAGCTTTGCTTGGCGTGAGGTTTCGGCTGTCACCATGAATGGGGTTTGGAAGAACCTTTGCCAGCAGTTTGTTCATGAAGTTCATTGACTTGAGAAGATGGGTAAGGAGTCCATAGAGGTCTTCAACAACTTAGTGACCCTTAGCACGAAGCTGGACCTAGATCTGCAAGAGGATGACTTCATTGAACTCCTTGCTGTGCAACATGAGGAACTTGCTAATGAAGATCTGATAGAATTAGAGGCCCAGCGAAAGACGAGAGCCAAGAGGAAGATGTAACTGAAGAACCAAAGAGATTCACAACACACAGGAAATGGCAAGGGGATTTTTTTTTACTTGAAGAGGCACTGTTAGTTTTTGAGGCACAGGACCCCAACGTATAACGATACACAAAGGTTGCAGCAGCCATTCAGAATGCCATCCAGTGCTACAGAGTCATCTATGATGAGAAAAAAAGAGCTACTATTCTGACATCACTGGGTCATTTTTTCCAGAGGGTAGACAGAATTGAATCCATCAAAAAAAACTGTGTCATCAACATCAGGTGTGAGTGAAATTTCATCTTGCACTCCATCTCCTATTGTTAATCCTTCAGCTCCATCAACATCAGGTGTGGGCCAAATTCAATTTTGCCCTCCATCTCCTATTGCTGATGATCCTTAAGCTCCAACAACATCAGGTGGGAGCCAAATTCCATCTCCTATTGCTGATGATCCTTAAGCTCCAACAACATTAACAACATCAGGTGTGAGTGAAATTCCATCTTGCACTCCATCTCCTATTGTTGATGATCCTTCAGCTCCATCAACATCAGGTGTGGGCCAAATTCCATTTTGCCCTCCATCTCCTATTGCTGATGATCCTTAAGCTCCAACAACATCAGGTGGGAGCCAAATTCCATCTCCTATTGCTGATGATCCTTAAGCTCAAACAACATTAACAACATCAGGTGTGGGCCAAATTCCATCTTGCCCTTCATCTCCTATTGCTGATAATTCTTCAGCTCCACCATCTTTAATCTACCCTCACACCTCCAGTTAGTACCTCTCTTCCACTATATGCCAGTTGTTTTACTGTACTGTACCACCATTTTAAGGTAACTGTAAAAGCAAAAATAGTTTTACAGTTGTACTGTACCATCATTTTAAGGAAACTGTAAGAGTAAAAATAGTTTTACAGTATTTTTGTGTGTGGTTTTTTATGCTTTACATTGTATATTTGTGTCAAAGGTGTATCCGATGTATGAACGTTCTCCCGAACGGAACTTGTTTGTAAGTCTAAGGGTTACTGTATTGTACAAAATATTTTTTATTAAAAAAAAAAAAAACGAACACCCTCCACTCACATGGCCAGTATAGCGGTCCAGGGATTTGAAATCCTTGCTCTTCTTCCCCTTCGAATCAGAGTGATTCTGATTGGTCAAAGTGGTCACATGCCAGTGCTGACTGATCAGAATTGCTATTGCGCTGATCCATTCTAGTCCTACAGAAAGTAGGGGAAGAAGAGCAGGGATTTCAAGTTCTCCAACCACGACACTGGCACCTTGGGTACTGATGACCCATTTCCCACTGAGGTGAGTACAGTAGGGACCGGGCAGGTGGGGAATGTGTAGGAGGTTCACTTTTTTTTTTTTTTATTCTGAAAAGGTGAACTAACCCTTTAAGCTAATGATAATAGGAAAATCATTGTTTGCTATAAGTAGCACAAACTTTTTTTTTTTTTTTTTTTTTCCCCTTTTTGTTCAGGAAACATCGGGCTGGAGTGGACATACATTCCTGTTCACAGTTTCTCCTTGAGCTGTACAGCCAGTGGATTCTGCCTGCTAACACTGGGAAGAAGACTCCAGTCATCTTGGTCAGTGAGGTTGTGAGATCGGTAAGTTGATTGTCTATTGGATTTGATTAAGCCAGCCATAGATGGAACGAAATTTTGATCCATTTATGGGCAGGCTGTTTGTACAGAAGTCGATTTTTAAATCTTTGGTAGTGATGATGTGTCTTCTGAGGACAGGGAAGCCTCAGTAAAAAATACATTAAATGTCAGAAAAAAATGCACTAAAGTTAATTTTAGGGCACAGAAACAAAATCTTTTTCTCAATCTTTTGGTAAAATGTAAACATATATAAAAAAAAAAAAAAATCTGTACCATGCACGAGAATGACGTCATCTCTACCCAACCAATGACAGCAACCGATGCTTGTGACCCAAAAAGCCTGCCTGCCACAGATGTTATCGGCTGGCAGGGGGTTCTGGGGGCTGTGCATCACTGGATTCAAGGTGAGCATAGTTCCGCTTTAAATTGCTTCTTCCGTGGCTGTCTCTAGTTTTAAGTCACAGATTTAATAAGCATGCAGTCAGTGAAGGCAGAGCACTTGATCTTCTTACGTGTTTTCGAGCAGAATGGAAACTATTGGATGACAGTCAGGACCCAGCATTTTCTTATGCAAGAGGTCAACAGTGGCAGGCTCCATATTTCATATAGTGCCTGTTTTCATTAACACCATATTCAGCAGATCATGAGAACAATTTAGATTGATAATATAGTGCTCTTCTGCATTTTATTAGCTCTTCTTGTGGTGCATAGTGACTCACCACTTGGCTCTTTTCTTTTTTTTTTTTTTTTTTTTTTTTTTCCAGTTATTGAGTCAATTGTTTTTTTATGACTCTTATTGAATTAAGTTCAAAATTATTAGTCCTTTTATCATGCTGATCTATAGATCTTAGCAACTGCCAGTATTTCTTCAGTTTTAAATTAGTCCTAAATCAAGTTGTGCTTTGCCAGTTTAGAGCAAAACATTTTAATTCTTCCACCCCCGGCAGTATACACTTACCTTTCCTTTGATCCCCCAGCAGTGTTATTCAGCACTGGGATCTGAAACATTAAACTATCAAATGCAGCACAGAACTTCACAATAGTTTTGCAGCGTTACTTACAGATGCACATTGACTGTTTTTAGGTAACATGTGGCCCTAAGCAATAATTAAATTAAACTGGGGTCCCCTCTGCTTAAGTACTGTATTATTTGGTGGGGACATAGGGAGTTTGGGCTATTTAGTCAGAATTGGTGTGTAAATTCCGTAATTTAAAAAGCATTGAAGGTGTCTAACTTCTTTGGAATACACAAAATCATCCCAGAGATTATCTTCTATCTCTAAGAGGAACACCTCTAAATTCAGTATTTTTTTAATTTATTGTAGTGGGCATCATCCTATTTTTAAAAAAAATAGTGTCGCGCTAATAATACTCAAAAATAATACGTAAATAGGTGATTACAATACACAAACGAAATATATATAAAACCATCCCCTGAATGTAGACATCGGGGAAAATTTATACAAATGAATAAATTAAATAGTGTCATGCGTGAATTCCCTCATATAGGGAATATCCAGTGCACAGGGTGATAAATATAACCCTAATTCAATACTGTGAAAAACACACTAGTGCACATCAATAGTGAACAAATGATTAATTCCAAAGTCTGAAAAATAATGCGAAGCTTATAGTGGTCCTCCCACTTCACTCTTCATGCAAATATCGTGCAGTGTACGTAATTCACATGTGCCAATCCTTCAATGTCCAAAATGCCCCCTCACCTCCTTACTTAGACCCCACAGGGCCAGCTCGCTTTTAGGATCAACCGATCCTGTTAGAATAGATTCCTCTCAGGATTTCCCCTCACTGTTGGTAAACGTCTCCAGCCTTCACCAGACTTGCAGCTAGCTCCTCCCAGGGTCATAATGAAATACAAGCAGAGACCCTCCATAGTGTAACCAGTTTAATAGATAAGCATCCAAAATACAAAGTAATTCACTCACATTAAAAGACGTCTTGCCCTCCAGCTTTCTACCGCATGTTATGGGTGTACTGCATGGGTATCTAAACAGGGTGATCCAATATGGCCCCCACGCCGGAAGTGACGTCACGCGTCACCGCGTTATCAGAAGCTCCTCCCCACGTACCGACGCGTTGCGTCACGTTCAACATGTGACTTCCTCAGTCCTATTTTACTTTAAAAGTATACACAGTAGCAACCTGCGCTAGCAGCAATGCAGTTGATAAAAAAGCAGCTAACAAGAATGTTGTCAACAAACAATTAGTAATGTATAACAAGATGCAGCGCTAGTTACTAAATATTCAATTTGTTAAAAGATGATATATTCCCAAAGACAAAGCTAGAATGTCATAACAAAGTGCAAATGTTGAAATCACACAAAACTCGTGCCAGAAGAGGTAAAAGTGCTTGAAGAAGAGGAAATCCTCCATCAACCAACATACACAGCCTTTTACCAGAAACCATGACCACGAATCAAGCGATCAGAAAGTGCGTATGGTATATAGAGATGGCAGGGGATCCCAATGAATCTCCTCACTGATCTCTTTTTCCACTGCAGCTTACTCCAAGGTATAAGTATGATATTGAGCCAAGAAGGTGGTCTGATGCTCTCTCAGATGCATAAGAACAAAGAAAAGCAGAACCACTTTATAGTGTCGTAATTTTTAAAAGCCAGAATTTAATAAAAGTATTGCAGTTAGAAACCACAAAATATGTTCAGCATATAGACTATCATAAAATGTTTCCAACCAACAAGATGGCCGCGATCCGTGACGCGATGGCGTCATACGTTGTAGCTCCACCCAACGCATTTCTTCATAAAAAAAGACGTCGACAAGGGCGTCTTTTGAGTAATTGAAAGAGAAAAGCTACTTGCACTTTCATTCTGGTCCTCATCATTCCATTTCATAAACTATTTTTAATGCATTTAGGGCACCTCTGGTATACCAGAATGTGTTTTGTTATACTTGTAGCATTGGGAAAGTAATATTTCTTCTCACAATATTTGCAAATTGCAGCTTTGCTCCCAGCAGAAATCACACTGTGGAAATGTTTCCAAACTCTAGATGTTGGTCTCACCATTTTACTGCGAGGAGGACAAGAAAAACCAATTTACTGAACAGACTATAGGGAAACATTATGCTATGATGGTGGAGAACATTAACCACTTGACCTCTGGAAGATTTTCCCTCCTTCATGACCAGGCCATTTTTTTCTATACAGTGCTGTGCTACTTTAACGGACAATTGTGCTGTCATACAACACTACACAAATTATATTTATATCATTTTTGTCAGACACAGAGCTTTTATTTGGTGGTATTTGATCATCACTGTGTTTTTTTTTTTGTGTGCTATAAATGAAAAAATACAGAAAATTAAAAAAAAAAAACTTGATTTTTCTACATTTTGCTATATAACATACCCCATAAAAAATAAAAAAATTTCATAAATTTAGGCAAAAATGTATTCTGCTACATGTATTTGGCAAAAAAAACAGCATAAGTGTATATTAATTGGATTGCGTGAAAGTTATAGCGTCTACAAATGGCGGTGTATATTTACTGGAATTTTTATTTACTTTTTTTTTTATTTCTAGGAATGGCAGCTATCAGCAACTTATAGTGGGACTGCGGCGGGCATTCTGACACTAACTGAACTGACTTACTGCCACTGACATTTCCAATGGCACTAATACAGTGATCAGTGCTAATAAAAAGCACTGATCACTGTACTACTGGGCAGGAAGGGGTTAACATTTGGGGTGGTCAAAGGGTGATCAGTGTACTGTTTTGTTGCAGAGAGATTTTAAAGCAGCATGTCCCGCTGGCAGGGGAGAGTTCTGTGTTGTTTACACTCAGATCTTTCCTCTGTCAGCTGCTCTGCCAATCACCAAGTCCCGACCATGAATCGCTGGTCAGGACTCGGTAATTGACATCTTCAGGAGCCCTACCCGGAAAAGCAAAATCATATATATTTATGTGATTTTGCATAGAGCGGCCGCACTGTATCCGTACATCTGCTATAGGGCGGTCTTAAAGTGATTAGTAGGAATCATTTGAAGGTTATAAAGATAAACTAATTTGTCAGACAAATTTACCCTCAATTAAGGCCTGAGAGGACAGAAACTATCGTCTACTGTATCCCAACAATCACCTAACTGTAGGGAGGTACAAGATGGAGTCCAGAAGCAAACGTAACTGGAGCGCTTTCCCTGCAGAACCTTCTAGTGGCAGATATGCATATTTTTCTTGTTTGAGAACTGCATTGAGAAGTACAGTGTTACTTGAATTGTATTCCAGGATTTGCTTAATTTAGGACTTTACATAAAGCCTCAAACCTGTCATTAAGGTCTTAATGTTCCATATTTTGAATACCATGTCAGATATATTATTTATCATTGTAAAAGAACACATTCTACACTTTTTCTTTTTATTCAATTTTCTTTGGAAAAAAATAACGGTTCTGAAAACAAAATTGTTTTTTTTTCACTATTTTTTCACACTTTTTCCATTTTTTTTCCCCCAGGCCTTCCCATCAGGTGTACTGTTAAGTATTGTTTAGATATCTTTGAAATATTACAAAAAATTGATTTTGGAACAGAGAAGGGGGAACAAAATATTATGTATCCTTTTTATACTGACATGTCAGCCCTCATATTTTCTCATCTCTCTAACCCCCCCTCACCTGCCTCTGGGCAGGCTCCAGGGAAATACACTTATATGGGCACTCCCTGTACATAAAACAGAGGCCAACTGTATCTGAGCATCACAAACCAAAATGTTGTTTAATTCATTTTTAATATTTACAGCACACTCACCCATCCATCCATTTCTCCATGCTTTATTTTGTTCCGAAATCACTTTGGGGAACCACCCCCCCCCCCCAGCATTTCTAGCTGTGGCCATCTTTAATAAGGGCAGATGATTCATGTAGCATTATTTCTTGGAATCCATCTACCTTTAGCTCAGGCATGCAGGCAGGGGATGTGCTTAGCTGAAAAAGCCCCCCCCCTCCTCCAGATGAAAGAAAAAAAAAAAATGCCCCTGAAGACTCTTGTGATGTATGATATAATTTTGGCATATGTCAGAAACCGGGAAGGAACTGGTTATATATTTACTATTGCTAACGGCAGAAGTATTAAATAGTTAATGTTGGTTTGAGAGAGCTTAGTTCCACTTTAAGTAAGTTTTAACACAAGTTTTTAGTACTAGCGTTAAGTTTTGTTTCTCCCTCTGGTGCAGAATTGTGAATTTGTATGGAGACCTCCAAATGTTTGCATTCATGTATTCAATGCATGCGCTATTTTCTTGTTGGGGAAGCGGCAGTGTTGTAACCGTGCTGTTATTCTGTACTTGTCTCTCGGCAGCTGCTGGCGGTATCTGATTTATTCACGGAGAGGAACCAGTTTGAGATGATGTACACAGCTTTAACTGAGCTCCAGAAACAGCATCCATCCGAGGATGAAATTCTTATTCAGTATCTGGTGCCTGCAATCTGCAAGGCGGCTGCCGTGCTGGGAATGGTAAGCTCCCTCCTCCTTCAGCTCTCTTCAGTGATGTGCTACTGATTTACTCCTTTCATAGAGCTGTATATCTTTCTCGGGGACAGGATGGATTGGCTGGTCATTGGGCAGAACTGATTCTTCAACATTTTGTCTTCTTATGTTAACAGTTTCAACATTAATAGAAGGTAACCAACCCCCTATCAGCTATGCAGAGTAGAGCTATGTTTACAGTGACGGGGTGCACATGAAATCAAGCCCAACTCTATTTATGACAAAAATAGAAAAAGGTAGTTCTCTAAACAAATAATCACAAAAAAAACATCATCAAAACATAAAAAGAAAATATATATTCATTAAAAAAGAAGAAAAAAGTGTATCAAAATATAAAAATATGATTAAATGCAAATAAAATATCATAAAACTCATTTTATTAAATAAATTAATTATCCAGTTTCATAATGAAAAAAAAAAAATGTTCTAAATAATCAATATCAAACATCCAAAAATGTCCAATAATAGTGTCCTTAAGTATAAAAAAAATACGTGAAAAAAACCTTTTATACGTGAATAAATATATAAAAGCACAATTACACTTAAGGACACTATTATTGGACATTTTTTGATGTTTGATATTGATTTTTTTTTAGAATATATATTTTTTTCATTATGAAACTGGATAATTCATTTGTTTGATAAAATTAGTTTATGATATTTTATTTGCATTTAAGATCATATTTTTGGGTTTTCATGCACTTTTTTCACTTTTTTCTTTTTTAATTAATATGTATTTTCTTTTTATGTTTTGCTGTTGTTTTTTTGTGATTATTGATTATTTGGTTAGAATGCTACCTTTTTTCTATTTTTGTCACTTTTTACCTTGTTTGAGGGTGTGGTTTTAGATGCTCTTTTATTTATAGATTTATTAATTTTTTTTTGGTTAATTAGGGGTTTTCTAGTTGCGCTATCCATACCCTAAACCAACTCTATAAAATAAAAATTGAACAACCTCTCCACCTCCCTGCACACCTCCACCACAGTAAATTAAAATGAAAGTATATTTCTGCGATTTTGAGTGTTTGGTTGCAGCTCTGCTTGTTGGCTTCAGCCGGTAGTCGGGAATCAACAGCACTCACATGTCAAACATTGTGATGAGTACCAATCTACAGTAAGCAGTAGGCTTTGAGTCCAGACAGAATGATGGCATGAAGGAGAACTAGTAGTTCCCGTGACGTGATGTGAAGTGTTGAACTAGGTAGGGAAGCAGTGACTAAGGAGGATACTAAGAACATCATGGAGAAGTTTAACAATGCATTTACACAACTGAAAATACAGGGGCGACAAAAAAAAATATATAATGAAGTGTATCTTTAAAAAGGACCTCCTCCCCCCTCCTGCAATAATATATATTAAATTGTATATAAACAACTACACTTGTTTGTCCACACTGTTTTTTCCTTTTTGTGGATCAGTTTTCAGGCTGCCGCTGCCCTGCACCCCCATTTTGAAAATGTATAATGTCAGGGCGCTTCATCTCGTGCGTACTCGGTATAAGAATATTGCAAGATCTTACAGCTTAGTTACAGGATCTCCCTGAAAGCACTAGTGAGGTTGCCTTCCCGTGGGGCATCTGTGCAGCCAGGGCTACATCACCAGTGCTTTTAGAGGAACCAGGAAGTGAATGCAAAAATGGTAAGTAAATCAAAAACTTTATTTTATTTTATTATTTAAACAGCATTAGGTGATTTCACATCAGCCACTGGTAGAATATTAATAATCACTGTCATTTAAAACACATGTGCCAGGAAGATTGACCTGAATTGAATGTTGATTGATTTCCTGCCCCTTTGTGTTACTGTAGTGACATATGCCTGTTTTTGTTTTTTTTTTGTCAGGATAAAACTATAGCAGAGCCTGTCAGCCGACTACTGGAGAACACACTACGAAGTACCCACATGCCCAGCCGCATTGGAGCTCTACATGGCATTCTGTATGTGCTGGAGTGTGTGGACCTCCTGGATGACACAGCCAAGCAACTCATACCCATCATCAGTGACTACCTGCTGTCCAATCTGAGGGGCATTGCACAGTAAGTGTCTCCTCCAGTGTACCTTTCATTCTGCATGATGTGATGTAGGGAAGATGAACAGTGACTTTTTGTCATTTAGAAGTTCTATGTGAATTTTGGTAGCTTTTGCTGTTGTGTAAAAAAACAAACTTGAATTTCCATATCCTAACCTTTTAGTGCTGCCACAGTAATAGTTTGTAGCTACACAGAACTAAGTTTAGAGCTAAAGCTAAACTCTAGACTAGGGGTCTCCAAACTTCTCAGTACAAGGGTCATATATATATAGTATATTGTCATGAACACATCATCTGAACACTAAAAGGTCACTCCTGTGCTCTCTTCACTCAACAAATTTATGCAAGCAGATTCCTGATTGGTTTAGGGCAATACTCTGATATTATTATTATTATTATATTATACAGTATTTATAAAGCGCCAATAGTTCGCTCAGCGCTGTACATTACAAAGGGGGACAGAACATGTGACAGAACAATACCAATACAACGCAAAACATGAGGGGATCGAGGGCCCTGCTCTTTCAAGCTTACAATCTAGGAGGGAGGGGATGGTGGCACAGTAGGAGAAAGCTGTGGGGGATGGAGTGGTAGGAAGAGTGGAGGAGGTCGGCAAGTTAGTAGGGGGTGGGGTAGGCTTCCCTGAAAAGATGGGTTTTCAGGGTGCGCCTAAAGGAGAGGAGAGTAGGTGATAATCTGATGGGTTGGGGCAGGGAGTTCCAGAGGATGGGTGACACCCTGGAGAAGTGCTGGAGGCGGGCATGGGAGGAGGAGACCAGGGAACTAGAGAGAAGGAGGTCTTGTGAGGAGTGGAGTGTGCGTGCTGGGCGGTACTTGGATATTAGGTCAGTGATATAGTTCGGGGCAGTATGGTGACTACCTTCCCCACTCTTTTCCAGCATTGATTAAAGTTAAGCCTTGTACACACGATGAGAATATCAGACCAGTGGTTGTCCGTTTTTTTTTTACATGCTAGTCTCGTGTCAAAAACAAAAATAGGTTACTAAAGTTATGAAAATTCTCATATGACGGAAAACTTCTTCCTGCGATCATGTAATGTGTTCTTTCGTTTCTGAGCATGTGTGGTCTTGGTCACTCTTTATTTTTTTTTTTATGGAGGAAAACTGCTGATTAAACGAAAATCTTTTTTTTCTGTTGTGGTACGAGCACAAACTTTTGGTGCTCATCCCTTTGGATAATTTTGCATGAACTGTTATGATCTGCTCTCGAAAGCTGTGTACTAATGATCAGATTATCGAACGATTGCTCTGAAAGTGGTATTTTTCGTCAGTTTTTCTTATCATATATGAATTTAGACATGCTAAGCACTTTAGCTCTTCGTTTGCTTGCCTATGTTTTCTTGTAAAGTACATTGCATATAGATTTACTGTTGACATGTTCCTATATAGAGTGCTGTGAAAAGTAATTGCCCCTTAAATTAAGTGGTTGTGCCACCCTTGGCGGGAACAACTGCAATCAAGCATTCGCGATAACTGCCAATGAGTCGCGTTGCTGTGGAGGGATTTTGGCCCACTCTTCTTTGCAGAATTGTTATAGTTCAGCCACATTGGAGGGTTTTCGAGCATGACTGGCCTGTTTTAAGGTCATGGGCAGCACAGTGGCTAAATGGTGAGCACTTCCGCCTGGCAGTATTTAGGGTCATCGGTTCGAATCCCAACCACGGCACTACCTGCCTGGAGTTTGTATGTTCTCCCTGTGCCTGTGTGGGCTTCCTCCGGGTACTCCGGTTTCCTCCCACACTCCAAAGACATGGCAGTAGGTGAATTGGCTTCTGTCTACATTGGCCCCAGATTGTACACCCCTTAGTATATTTACGTATGAATGTGAGTTAGGGACCTTAGATTGTACACCCTTGAGGGTTAGGGACTGATGTGAATGTACAATATATATGTAAAGTGCTGCGTAAATTGACGGCGCTACAGAAGTGCCTGAAATAAATAAATGCCACAGCATCTTAATGGGATTTAGGTCCAGGCTTTGACTAGGCCTCTCCAAAACCTTAATTTTCATTTTTTTGAGTCATTTAGAGGTGGACTTGCTGGTGTGTTTTGGATCATTGTCCTACTGCATAACTCAAGTGCACTTGAGCTTGAGGTCATGAACTAATGACCACAATTCTGCTTCAGGATTTTTTGGTAGAGCGCAGAATTCATGGTTCCATCAATTATGGCAAGTCATCCAGGTCCTGAAGCTGCAAAGCAGTCCCAGGCCATAACACCACCCGCATCATGTTTGATTGTTGATATGATGTTCTTTTTATGAAATGCTGTTATTTTTTATGTCAGATGTAACGGGACGCACACCTTCCAAAAAGTGCAACTTTTATCTCATCAGTCCACAGAATATTTGCTCAAAAGTTTTGGTAATAATCAAGATGTCCTTTGGCATATGTGAGACGAGGCTTTGTGTTCGTTTGTGGCCAGCGGTGACTTCTCCCATGGATGCCATTTTTGCAAAGTCTTTCTTATTGTTGAATCATGAACACTGACCTTAACTGAGGCAAGTGAGGCCTGCAGTCCTTTAGATTTTGTTCTTTTATGACTTCCTGCATGAGTTGTTGTCATGCTCTTGGATTAATTTTGGTAGGTCGGCCATTCCTGGGAAGGTTCACCACTGTTCCACGTTTTCTCCAATTGTGGATAGTGGCTTTCACTGCGGTTCGCTGGAGTCCCAAAGCCTTAGAAATGGCTTTGTAACCCTTAGCAGACTGATACATGTCAGTAACTTTGTTTCTCATCTGTTCTTGAATTTCTTTATGTCGTGGCATGATGTGTTGCGTTTTGAGATCTTTTAGCGTGCTTCACTTTGTCAGGCACCTTCTATTTAAGTAATTTCTTGATTCATCAGGTCTGGCAAGAATTAGGCCTGGGTGTGGTAAGTGAAATTTACCTCAGCTTTCCAAAAAATGTGGTTATTAACAGTTCATGGTTTAGCAAGGAGGCAATTACTTTTTCACATAGGGCCAGGCAGGTTTGGAAAATTATTTTTTTTTCTTTATTAAATGAAATAATTTTAAAACTGCATTTTGTATTTACTCGGGTTATCTTTGTGTAATAATAACATTTATTTGATGATCTGAATCATTGAAGTATGACAGATATGCAAAAAACAGGAAGGGGGCAAATACTTTTTCACAGCACTGTTTTTGTGTGCAGTCTTTTCAGTAAATTATTAGACAAGTAATGTATATCAATATGTGGTAATGTGGTTTTTGTTGTTTTTCTTTTTTTTTTTTAATTTTGTTTCTGTGTAGAGGTGTAATTATATGCCTTTACTTGATAGATACCCAGGCACTGCTAAGTGCTTTGCAGTGCTACACAGTGGCTAAATGTAATCAGAATACCACCCCACCTGCTCACCATTTTAGCTAGTTACGGAGGGCGCACTGTACATAAACATTGACAGTATGGGCCTGCTGTGCTCGATCATGTACCTCTACATGATCCAGCATTTCCAGGTAGGGTGCGCTCGCACGTCCACTGACCCAGCTGTGCTGTGATTCGCAAGCTGATGAGCGGGTCCTGGCCAATGATTTATGGCTGGGATCTGCTGATCGGCAGAGCAAATGACAGAAGAGAGCTTTGTGTTTGTAAACAACACAGAGCTGTCTACACACAGTGGCAATGTGCTAGTTTCTTCTCCCTGCAAAACAGAGAGTAAAAACCATGGCATTGCTTAGTAAAAGCATACACAGTAAACATCATTAGGCACACAGTTAACACTTTGATTGCCCCTTGTTTACTCCTTCCCAACCAGTGGCATTAGTACAGGGACTGTGTATATTTTAAGCACTGATCGCTGAATTAGTATCACTGGAGATGTCAGGTAGTGTCAGATTGCCTGCTGCGCTATCACAATCCCAGCAGTCCACAGCTGATCAGCACGATCATTTGTAGACGCTATAACAAGACATGTAGAAGAATACATTTTGGCCCATATTTATGAAGTAGTTGATTTTTTTAATATTTTTTTTTTCAAAATTATTTTTTGTTTTTCGTTTATATAATAAACAAATCCAGAGGTGATCAAATACCACCAAAAGAAGGCTTGATTTGTGTGGAAAAAATGATATAAATTTCATTTGGGTACAGTGTTGCATGACCATGCAATTGGCAGTTAAAGTAACGCAGTGTTGATTGCAAAACAAATCTTCCAGAGCTTAAGTAGTTAAACCGTGACAGGGAGCTGTTGGGGGTAGTGCTAGTATTGTGGGGGATGGGCCAAATCGAATTATAGTTTTACTCTAGGTAGGTTGATTTTGAGTTTCCCAGCTGCACCATTTATGTCAATGCTACTAATGCAGATCTGTTGAGATGGAAATTTATATGGGCGGTAAAGGAAATAACACCTGTAAGGAGTTTACAGATTTAAATTTTGTATATAATACATGGAATAAATTACACAGAACTTCAAATCAAATGTCCTCTGATTATTTCAGTAAAAATCAATAAGTAGTGTTGTGGCATCTTGCAGAAGTGATTTTATTCTCTGAGGCATTGAATGGATATTTTTTTTCTAAAAGGTATTTATTTAGCAGATTTTTAAATATTTTTTTTTCCAATGGCAACCCTCTGAATAAGGACGCAGCTTTAGAATAGAATTGCACAGTGAGTTCACAGGGCAAGGATACAGATTCACACACATTCATCTGGCAGATAAATAAAAATCAAGTGACCCTGAAATTAAACAATATTGCAGAAGGACATATAAAATCATTCACTGTAATGCCCTAGCTGCAGAATGTTCACTGCTGTTGGGTTTATGGCTCATAGCGTACCCCTTAATTAAACTGGAGAGAGTCGGATGCATTCTTGCATTCCAGTCATGGGCTCCAGTTCTTTTCAAAGTTCCCAGTTTGTACGACCTAAAAAAAACCCATATATAATTATATATATATATATATATATATATATATATATATATATATATATATAAAAATTTTCATATTATGGCAGCACTTCATTGATCAGCTTTGGGAATTGGTTG